GGTAAAATGTTATTAAGGAAAGTCAAGTATAATTTTTAAATGCATGCATATTACCTATTTATATGTCTATTACATCATGTTTGGCTGTAAATATTAGGGAAAAACTATAGAATTACAACAAATATCAAAGTTCTTTATGTAGCTTATAATGTACCAAGGTTTTGGAAAGCAGGACATTCTTTAACTCACCTACCATGTCTAGCATATTATTAAAAAATGATTTATAATGGGCAACATACTTTTCTTCATAGATATCAGTGTCTTGGTCACAAGACAGTTGCTTCTATGTGCACAGCTACAAGAGAAATATAAATTGTTATATACAATGGCACCTGAAATTTAGTAATTATGTAATAACAGATGCTTCTTGTAAGTTATTTGCAAATATATTAAATAGCTCTACAAAATCTAAATTAAAATGCTGAGATTAGAAACTTAAAAGCCAGACGTAGTGGCACATGTTGCTGCTATTATTATTATTATTATTATTATTATGTTTATTATTATGTTTTGCTTGGTCTGGTGCCTAAGGAAGTGATAAGCCTCCATGTGGGTGCTGGGAATCAAACCTGGGTCCTTTGCAACAACAAATGCTCTTAACCACTGAGCCAACTTTCCCAGTTAATCCCAGCACTCAGGAGATAGAGGCAGGTGGATCTCTGTGAGTTCCAGGCCAGTTTGATCTACATAGTGAGTTCCAGATCAGCCAGGGTTACAGGATTACACAGTAAGACCCTGTCTCTGGGGGGAGCACACAAACAAAAATTAGGGCTTCAAAATACAAAATGTGACATTCAAAACTACTTACAAGATGCATAATGGTCTAACATAATAATATATGTTTAGATTAGAGGTGAATTTTTCAAAAGTCCCCCACTCCCACTTCCTTAGTGACTTGTGTATCTATGTGCAAAGTTAAGCTCCACAATATATATCTACCTGGAATCTACCTTCCAAAGTCTCCAGAATGTATTGAGGAAAAGAAATCAAGGTAGCTAAATTGATTTCATGTTATTTCTGTATTAACGTATTGATGTTAACAAAGATATGCAAGCCAGGATTAGTACACCAGAACTCTGCTTCTAAATCCTATGGATCAAGACTGGAAAACTGTAATCTAGACATGGTGACTTCTTAAATGGCTGTGGGTGGAACTTGGTAGTATAGTTTTGGTGAACATGCATGAGACAGTCCTGTGAAACAAATATAGCAATAAACACACCAGCTATAATCTGTAAGTAAAAACTGCAGATACCCTAGGCCTTCATATGTGTAATTATTTAAGTGGCATATATGTAGCTGATCAAAAGTTTGTAATAAGTTTTCATGAGCCACAAGACCAATGTTTTGAAATTGTTTTAGAAATTTCTTGGAAAATTCTTCCTGTCCCAGACTCCTATGTGCCAGGATTACTGGCATGAGCCATCACATCCAGCAACATTTCTTGATAGGCTGTTTGCTTACTTTTATAAAACAGAGAAAGTGAAGGCAAAGTTCTTTGAGCTTCTTGGTTGTTTGAATAATGTGAAAAGATTACTAAAAAGTAGAGTGGAGGGCTGGAAACAGCTCAATTGATAAAGTGCTTGCCTAGCAATCAATCCTCAGTACCACATAAAACAGGACATGGTGGTGCACACTGTGATCTCAGCACTCAGGAGGTAGAGGCAGGAAAAGCAGAACTTACAGATCATTCTCAGCTACAGGACAAGTTCAAGGACAGTCTGGACTACATGAGACCCTGTCTCAAAAAAAAAAAAGTAGATTGTAAAACATCACTTTATCCTATAAAGTAGAATTTTTTACACTCTGGTTCTCAAATAAAAACATTAGCATCATCTAGTAACCTGACAGAAATAAAAATTTTGAGACCCTTCCTCATACCTTCTGATTTGGAAACCTTGGAGTAAGGGTCCAGGAACCTGTCTTTTAATAAACCCAACAGGTGATTATTATTGTTGTTACTATTATTTTTTTTCAAGACTTCCGTTGTTCAGTCTTTTTTTTAAAGATTTATTTATTTATTACATATACAGTTTTCTGCCTACATGCCAGAAGAGGACACCAGATTGAATTCTAGATGGTTATGAGCCACCATGTGGTTGCTGGGAATTGAACTCAGGACCCCCGGAAGAGCAGTCAGTGCTCTTAGCCTCTGAGCCATCTCTCCAGCCCCCTGTTACTATTATTTTAGACAGGGTAAACTTATATAATGGAGGCAAGCCCTAAGCCCTAAACTCACCATCCTGCTTCAGTCTCAGGTCCTGAGTACTAGGATTAAAGTCTTATGCTAAGACATGCAGCATCAAAAACAGGTGCTTTGATGCATGCTTATGTGTAAGAACCGCAATTACAGAGTCAAGAAGGTATTTCAAGGGTTGGGGAGATGGTTTGATGCTTGCTAGAGAAGAGGACCTGAGTTTTAATCACCAGTATCCATGTCAAACCAGGGTAAGGTTACACACTGCATGGTCTGTAATCACATTGTTTGTAGAGGAGACACACAGAGGCCAGTCAGTCTAAGCTAACTGGAGAGCTTTGATTCCAATAATTTGTATCAAACAAATAGGGAGAGTGATAGAGTTGACCCCTAACATGGATCTCTGGCCTCACAGTCAAGGGCACTCACCATAAACATATCAACACACACACACACACACACACACACACACACACACACACACACACACACACACACACACACCTGTTCCAAGGTAATTGCCATTATCACCAAAAGAAATGATACATGCTCCAAATCCCTGCATGTGAGTTCTTCCTGCGCTAAATGATAGAATTTCAGATATTCCTTTTATCCCAACTCCTAATCAAATGGAATCCCTTCAACAACTAATTAACAATCTGAGTTAACAAAGGACTATGTCTGCAATTTTCTTGAGAAAAGAGCAGTCTCACACAAAACAAGAATCCTGCCAATTTTAAGAACATGGATTTTGTTCACCCAAGGAGAGAGCTAACAAACCCTACCTAAAGTGAAGAACTGAATTGCTAACTTCCAAAGTTCTCGTGGGCTTTTCCCATTCTCCTATATGTAATGATCAGATATAATGCAAACAATGCTTTTCAGCTATTTCCAAACTCTATAGTAACTGTTGTAGTGATGTCTGTATACTGCAACACACCTACTCTAAACAAAGGATTTGCAGCTAAACACCCACACATCCTGGATGCTTGAGCTTTTTAAGGTCAACTATCATTGGCTTGGTTTGTGTTCATACTGTGGTTATGCATGAGATTTAGAAATTTGACTTATGTCAGTTACTTGCTTTTATGGCCCATTCTTCCCGAACATGGCAGTTGTGTGTCATTAGAAAGAGTATCAGACTGGAAATAGTTGTGAGTCCTTGCACAGTAACTTCTTGACCTTCATTGATTTCGCTGTAAAAGGGAGATATCTCCTGACCTCTAGGGTGGTTAATGTAAGATGGAAAGTGTTGAAAATGTGCTATACACTACAAATCTGTATACATCTATCACTTCCCATTTACTGAGCAGCTATTATGCTAAAGTAGAATATTGTACAAGATCTCTTGTAGGCACTGAAGACAAAAGTGTGAACATGAAAAACAGTAAAGTCTATCCACCCCCAAACCTGCATTCTAGCAGGAAGGCAAATTTAGTTATGAACACAATGGAGAGTTATCCTCCCCTATTAAAGATGTTTTAGGATTTTGATTCCCTGTAGCCCTTTGTGAAATTAAGATGGGATTCTATGATAAAGGTATATTTTTACTGCAAGAATAACCCTGTTAGGTAAATTAGACTAATCTGATGATGAATTGTTGAGGCTTTCCCAGCAGCAACAAGCCCCTCCAGTGAAATGATCATTAGCTCTAGAGGCAGAAATGATGTTAACTTAGAGAAGATAGAAAAAAGAAAATTCTGGGACAGGGCAAAGCCAAGTCTCACACTGGATGCCATGTTCAATAATTAAGGTGGCAGCAGACAATTTCTTCTGCGTTGTTTACATTCATTGCTAGAACGAATCATTTTCCAGAATTTCTCATTTTCCTAATAAAAACAGATAGACTATTAGGCAGGAATACTAAAAAAGAGCTTTCTAGTCTACTGAAGCAATTAGTCTAAGATAAGGCCAATTTCGGGTTCTGAAGGACAGAGGACCCAAGCATCCTGTTCAAAAAAAAAAAAAACTGCGTTGGAACCATACCGCAGTCTCCACAGAATGCAAAGTGCTTTCCAAGCCACCAGGTTCTAGGAAAAGAGGATACAAAGAAAGACACGCATATACCCCTAAAACCTCACACAGAGGCCAAATGCTAATTCTTCCCATCCCATTTAAGGTGAAAAGAGGGCACTGCATTTTTATGTCCGATAGACCCATTTCTTTGTTTGAGTACATTATGCGCAAATCTACAAGCAAGCCTGACACTGCAACTCAAGAGACCTGACACACCGCCTCCCCAGGAGAGGACTGTAAGACCTGGCTAGGGGGCTGCAAGGAGAGGGGGGTGTTTAATAGAAGAGAGTAGCCAGGAAACTAGGATTAGAACTGCGGAGTTCCTTGCCCTCCCCCTAAAGCCCCATCGAATATCCTCTGCGGATGCCGCATCCTTGGAAGACTCTATGCAGGTCTGAGTTTCTGCTATTTATCACCAATCACCACGACTAACTCAATAATCCTCTTCCAGGAACTACTTTATCTCCATCTCTGGTCCCGGAGGGACATCTCTGTGCCCTCATGTGCTGTCATGTCATTGCCTGCCACCACGGTCGCCCACCCCACCCCCCAAACACTAGCGAAGCTTCTCCGTGTCCCCTAGCAAATCTTCATACCTTAAGCCGCCAAGCTATCATCCGCCTCCTGCCCCTGTTCCTATTTGGACCGACTTTGGTGACCCTCTCCTTCCTTTGGGTTGTCTGTAACCCAAACTCCATCATCCGTCCCTCACCCTCATCCCTAAACCGATCCTCATCACCCATCTCCCACCCTTGTCCCTAACCCGACCTCCGGACACCATCCTCACCTGCAGCCCAGGAAAACGTGGTTGGTCCAGGCGGCGGAGAGCGCGAGGAGCTGGTCCAGGGCAGCCCCGGGATAGCTGTGCAGGTGCCGACAGATGAAGCTCCGCCGCAGAGCCCACTGCCAGTCACTTTCGTGGCTATAGCGCCACTGCTCCAGCACTGGCTCAGGCGGGGGTGGCGGGAGGGGCGGCAGCGGCGGCGGCGGGAGGGGGGGCAGCGGCGGCGGCGACAGGAAGTCACCCCCCAGGAGCAGACGTCCTCCAGCCATCTTCTCTGCTTCAGAGTTGGGACGCCCCCCAGGGACCGAGCCGTCAAACTGGCCGCGAGCAATGGAGGCGGCGGCGGGGAGGGGCGGACCTATGTGAGGGACGATCGAGGCTGAGTCTCGGGGGACGGGAGTGTGTGCCTAGGGGCTGTGCTCACAGGGGAACGGGGAACAACGGTCCCTGTCGCCACGCTGGCCGCACCGCTCCAACTAAGTGTGGGAACGAGAGGGCTTTCTTATAGACCGGGCACACGCAATGGCGGAGTTGAGCCCCGCTACTCTGCGCCTCCTGGGACCCTCAGACCCACACACTGAGAGAGTAGCGGCAAGAAGAAAAAGAAGCACCAGCACGCTGGGTTCCCCGGCTCAGGTATCTCAGCCTACCTCCCCGCGTGCCACCCTGAGGTTGTGAGGATACTGCGCACGCGCCGCGGCCGGTCTCCAACTTCGAAATCCCGCCGCAAAATCTCGCGTGATGGACAAGTTTCCCTTCCTATGACGATTGCTCTCCACTGACGCACGCTTGTGACTAGCAGAGGGCGGGGACTCCGGATAGGGAACTGACGAAGGCTGAGGTTCCTAAGCACCGTGATTGCTTTAAGTCCCTGGAAGGTGCCCTCAGGTGATTAGTCCGCGGCGGTGCTTGGGTTTCTAAGCGGCGCGATTCTGAGGCTGTGTCCTTTGGAAGGGATTTAGGTTTCAGGGCATTGGGCTTGTTTCCCCTGTTCGCTCTCTGATATGACTCCAGAGGATAGCTTGAAAACTATGTGCGCCGTTCATCATCAGCTTTGGAACTGCTTGCGAAAGCGTTGTCGCAAAGAAAACAGCGTCACTTCTCAAACTGATCCTTTTATATTTTTCTGATCGTGGTTGCAAACCACGATTTTTGTTTGTTTGTTTGTTCGTTTTTCTTCAGCTGGGTCTTAATGTACCCTAGGCTCGCTTCCAACTCACTGTGTAACCACGGGTGACCTTGAACATCTGTCCTCCTGCCTGCATCTTCCAAGTTCCGGGATAACCAGGTGTATCATCATTGCTCGTATATTTCAGTTCACTTAGGAGCCAAAGAACTACTTAAAAGCTACTGGGCAGCATAATGGCCAAAACATTATATAGTTTATAATCTCAGTGATTAAGATGAACCCTGCATAGATTTAACTCTTGTACTAGCATCAGGACTATTTGATAAAGTGTCTTTTGACCCATTATCCTCAATTTAAAAGGAGGATGGTGGTGTCTTGCTATGTAACCAAGACTAGCATAGAGCTAACTAGCATTCCTTCCTAGGCCTATAATCATGTGGGTGCTGGGATTATAGGCACTAATCACTGTTCTTAACTTACAGATTGACAAGAATGACAAGTTTAGCTTCTACATTTTATATACATGTGTCTCTGTGGGAGTGAGGGAGGGCAGGTGCCAGGAAAATAGAAAGAGGCCCATGAGAGGGAGAGAATTACTTTTACCAGAAAATTGCCCTATAATAAAATCTCAATAACTGGTATCTATGCTTTACTAAAAATACCAAAACTCATGATTGAAGGAATCCACACCTAGTCACTTATGAGAAATCTTAAATTCTTGACTATGTTCTGTTCAGAATTGCTGTTCAAATTTCCTTCTAGGTGTATCTCTTCTGATTAGTAATATTACTGAGTATATTGTTGTATTCTGTTTTTGCACATTTCTTTCTGCACATTGAACTATTTCCACTCAATGGTGTAATTTTTATTTTGGCCTTGGTATTTTTCATAAGTTAGTATTGTGTCTTTTAAATCTAATAAAATTTGAGAGAGAAAAACATTAAAATAACTTTTTCCCCTTGATAAAAAAATCCCATCTCTGAGAACAGGGAGTTCCTCTTTTGCTGTTAATGCCTGTGCTGGCTTTCATGGGCATACCATAGGCTACTCATGTGAATGAATGCTTTTCTCTTTGCACCATCCTAGTTTCTTAGAGTCTACATCTTAAGCAGCTGTTTTAACAATTGAATTAATTTCGGGCTTCTATGGTTATGTTCCCTTCAAAATTCAGTTGCTGGAATTTAATGGCCAATGTGATAGCATTAAGAGGTAGACTCTTGAACCAGGTGTTGGTGGCACACGCCTTTAATCCCAGCACTCGGGAGGCAGAGGCAGATGAATATATGAGTTCTAGGCCAGCCTTATCTACAGAGCGAGTTCCAGGACAGGTTCCAAAACAATACAGAGAAACCCTGTCTGGAAAAACCAAAAAAAAAAAAAGAAAGAAGAAAAAAGAGGTAGGCTCTTAGTGCTGAAGAGACGCCTCAGTAGTTAAGAACATGTGTCACACTTGCCGTGGACCTGAGTAGTATTCCCATCACCCACATGATGTCTCACATCTGTCTGTAACTCTAGTTCTATGGGAATCAGATGCCCTCTTCTAGCCTCTGTGGGTACTAGGCACGAATGTGGGCTGCATACACGGAGGCAAAACACTAATGCACATAAAATAAATCATTTAAGAAGAGAGACATAGGGTCTAAGCTAGACATGGTAGTGCACAAGCATAATCTCAGCATTTGGGAGCTATCTGGGCTAAGTGACACCTCATCTTAAAAAACAAAACAAAACCACAGGTGGTGGTGGCACAGACCTTTAATCCCAGCGCTCAGAAGTCAGGAGCAGGCTAACTCAGTGAGTTCAAAGCCATTCTGGTCTACAAATTGAGTTCCAGGACAGCCAGGGCTCTCAGTTACATAGAGAAACCCTATCTTGAAAAACCAAAAAAGGGAGAAAAGCTAGAACAGAAAAAGAGATAGGATCTTTAAGAGTTAATTAGGCCAGCCATCATGTGGGTGTCACATGCCTTTAATCCCAGCACTTGGCAGGTGGATCTCTGTGAGTTTGAGACCTGGTTTACAAGAGTTAGTTTCAGGACAGCCTCGAAAGCCACAGAGAAACCCTGTCTCGAAAAACCAAAACCAAACCAAACAAAAAAAAACAAAAACAAACAAACAAACAAGAGAGTTAATTAGGCCTTGTGGGCTAGTTCCTCCTGAAAGAAATTAAGATCTTTATAAAACATTTCATACAGCATTTGGAACTTTTATCTTCTCCCATATGAGGATACAGTGTTTCTCCCTTCTGATAGATACAGCAACAAGAAACTATCTTGGAGCAGAGAACATTCCTCAGGAGACAACCACATCTTCCAACCTCCTGCACTGTAAGAAATTGATCCGTTCTTTAGCAGTTATGCAGCCTCGGGCATAAAAGCTTAAGTGAATATTTATCTTTCTTATTTTCAAACTATAAAATTGCTTAAGATCACAGCTCCTGTGAGGATGAATTTTGCTTGTCAAGCCATATCCATACAAATAACATTATACACTGAGCAGATTGTGTTTGCTTATTTAGGAGTATGTATGTCTCTGTGTGTAACAAAAATAAAAGAAAAAGTGGCCAGAAGCCATGAATTTGAGAGCTCAAGGAGGTGCATAGGGGGCATGAAGGGAGGAAAGGATAATGGGAAAATGCTGAGATTTTATTTTAATTTCAAACGATAATAACAGAATCACCTAGGACACTAAAGAGACACATCTTTGAGTGTATCTATGGGGATATTTCCAGAGAGTATTAGTTGGGGGAACAAGCAAGAAAACAAAGCTTTATAATCTGACCTCTGCCTTACAAAATGAAAAGCAGTGCAATAGATCTAAGAGGCCATCTAGTGGGCTGTAGATGTAACTGGGTGGTAGAGTACCTGCCTAGCATGTATCAAGTCCTGGATTCAATCCCCTGTATTCCCAGACATCCAAGAAAAATAGGCGAGAGACCATTTGTCCTGGAACAATCATGATGCTGTTCTGTTCATGATTCCCACTATAGAATATAAGCCACTTTGTCTCTGGAAAACAAAGCAGAAGAAAAACCTGCATGGTCTTGTTGTGACTTTTTCTTCCTGGTAATTCTTTTTTATTTTTTAATAAAATCCTACAGCCTATCTATCTGTCTCAACCCATTCCCTCTCACACGGTACAGAATCTGTCAGGGAGCTGCTGAGACACCTGAACAGAAACAGGTTGTCTGAATAAAGATTGGGGACATAGAGGAAAGAGACTCTAAAGCAGCCCAATGTGATCCTGTTACCATTCATCTTCCTGCCCTCCATTATTCTCCCACACAGCCTTCAGCCATTCTCTTTAGACTAGATGTACAATCTGTTTGATCTTTCTTATAAAGGAGACAGTAATGACAGGAACCTCAGAACCCTATTCCATTAGCATATCAGAAATTAGATAATCTGAAATTCGTGTGTGTGTGTGTGTGTGTGTGTGTGTGTGTGTGTGTGTTGGAACAAGATACAGTCTTATTTTGGTTACAGCCACCACTCCCTATTGTTGTAACTCTCTAGTTCCCCTGCCACTACCACCAACCCTCTTCCTCTTCCTAACAACCTCCTTTCAGCTTTCACAGATTTATTTTGGTAACACAATGAGTTTCATTATTAGAGGAGCATGAGCATCTTACCATCCGCTACACCACTGAAGAAAGCCTCTCTTCCCTCATCAACCATTATCTGCTTATAAATCCTTAGGGAGGCTTTTGGTTTGTTTTATTTATTTATTTTTAGTGTTTGTTTTGTCTCGTTTATTTATTTTATGTGCATTGGTATTTTGCTTGCATATCTGTGTGAGGGTGTCAGATCTTGGTGTTAGATAGTTGTGAACTGTCATGTGGGTGGTGGGAATTGAACCCGGGCCCTTTGGAAGAACAGCCAGTGCCCTTAGGCCTCTTGTTTTGTTTTCTTGAAGCTGACTTCAAACCTAAAGCAATCCTGCTGTCTCAATCTCACAAAAATCTTTGAACATACTCCCCCTCTCCCTTACTTGTGTCCTCCCTCCCCTCCCATTCCTTTTGGATCTTGGAGATCACAGTTTCTTTCACTTTCATCCCACAGGGTTCCTCACCTGAGTACTCCTTAACACAAACGACTTGAGGAAAGTTACCAATGGAATCAAAGCAATAATTAGGAACCTCCAATTAGGCTAAATTTGGGTAGCCTGAACTCCAAAATAATTAGGGACAGTAATGAAGTAAAAAACATTGAAGTGTGTGTGTGTGTGTGTGTGTGTGTGTGTGTGTGTGAGAGAGAGAGAGAGAGAGAGAGAGAGAGAGAGAGAGAGAGAGAGAGAGAGAGAGAGAGAAATCCAAAAAGGAACATGATGAGGAAGGAAAAAACTCAAGGAAGGGGCAAAGGAAAAAAAAAAAAGAAATAAACTGGAGTAAGTTTGACTTGAAAGTAGCAGGAAGAGGTCTTGGGAAGGAGGGGAAGCGACAAGACAGGAGCAGGGGGGATGTGAAGGACAAATAAGAACAACGTGTAATGACCTGGATCAGTGAAAGTGTCAGAACGAAGCCCACCACTGTGTACGCTGTTTAAGTAAACCCCTAAGTATTCATATAAAGCATGTATCATATAAATCCATGAATCCGCAGTGATGCTAATCAGACAGCTGAGGGGGAGTAGACCTGTGCTTACTGTGGAGTAGCGTGCACTTACCAGCAGCTGGTGAAGGAGAGCTGAAAGTGAAAAATCATTTTGGAGATTCACTCAGGCAAGAGCTACCAACAGATGCTTAACTAGGAGGAAGTTTTTGGTGAGGGCCAAGGTGTATGCAGGGACTTACAGTTTCTCCACTTAGGATTTTAGTAGCAAGGTTGATGGAAGAAGAGTGACTAAATCTAGCAATCATATAGTGAAGGGACGAGGCAACACCTTGACCCAAAATGAAAATATTTCATTACTTACGTATTAATTTATTATATATGTGGATGCATGGGTGTCATGGTGCATTTGGGAAAGTCAGAAGACAACTCTGAGGACTTGGTTCTCTCCTTAGACTCAAACTCAGGTTGTCAGGGCCATGTGCAAGCACTTTTACCTGCTCAGCTATCTGCTCATTCTGGTTTTCTTTTTTTAGGGGGGGAGAGCGGATTTTCAAGACAGGGTTTCTCTGTGGCTTTGGAGACTGTCCTGGAACTTTCTCTGTAGACCAGGCTGATCTCGAACTCACTGAGATTTGCCTGCCTCTATCTCCCGAGTGCTGGGATTAAAGGCGCGCGCCACCACTGCCTGGCTTCTCATTCTGTATTTTTAAAAACAACAAACAGAATCTAAAAAAGATAAATGTTGGAGGTTAAGAATTCATACTACTAAGCCAGGTGGGGTGCAGCACGCCTTTAATGCCAGCACTCGGGAGTCAGAGGCAGGCGGATCTCTGTGAGTTCGAGGCCAGCCTGGTCTACAGAGCGAGTTCCAGGGCAGCCAGGTCTATTACACCAGAAACCCTGTCTCAAGTGCATACTATTTATTCAAGGACAAGAGTTCAATTCACAGCACCTTCAAACATAACTCTAACTCCAGTTCTAAGGGTTCAGACACCTCTTTTGTCCTCCAAAGGCATTGTCCACATATACATTCTTGTGCACACATATTCATAATTTTAAAATAAAAATATTGGAAAAAAGATCAGTGTAACAATACGCAAAGAGATTCTTTTCCAAATTAAGGAGATTTAAAACACAAGACAAAATGTATGATTCTAGACTAGATCCTGCATTTTTAGGGGAAAATGATGCAAAGGAAATAATTTGATAGTTTAAAACGGTATAAAAATGAGTCATTTACCAAAGTTGACAAATGTGGTTATAGAAGATAATGCCCTTATTACCCATAACTCAAGTTGGCATTGCAATTGATACAATAGCCAAGGCTGGCCTTGAACTCCTGATCCTGCTGTCTCATCTTAGTGCTTTATTACTGGCACATGCCATCATCTCTGGTTCTATTTGTTGTTGAGGATCAAACCCAGGGTTCTGAGTGCCAGGCAAGAATTCTACCATCTGACTAGGGCAAGTACATTCTGAAAGAAAGCCCATGCCAAACATGGCAAGCAGTAGTGAAAAGTTGTGATGGTTCTCAGGGGGAGGTGTCCAAACCAAGAAACCTCATTTATTAAATGCCCTGTTTTTCTTTTTAAAAGATATCTTTGGCGTTTTCTGTGTTTCATTGTCAGTGGCTGGGGATCGAGTGCCCGGGCATGTGTGGGGAGATGAGGTAACTTGAACGGAATCAGGGCTCTCCTTCCACCATATGGGTCCCGGGGATCGAACTCAGATAGTTGGTCCTGGCAGCAGGCACCATACCCTATTACCAGGAACGCATTTGGCTTTCTCATCACAACTCTCCCGCTGTTCCAACAGGCTAAGGATTCTGTATTTTTCCATACCTCCACAAGATCAGTGTTCAGCGACCTCATAAGCGAGTATAGCTTACTCTGCTGCCCCCTAGTGTGCGAACTGCGTAGACGCAGGTCAGCACCGTTTGCCCTAGTACCAGAGCAGAGGCTTAGTACCTACAGAATGCCTTTCAAGCCATGAAATTAGGAAAATGTTCACATCACAGGAGTAAATGAGAGAAGTAGCACAGAGTTGTTTTTGTTCCATAATTACAACTTACCTGGATTTTGCTCTGAGGATGCCATTTTCTGTTCTTCCTCTACTGTCTGATACTCAGTTCATTTGATTGGTCCAATCAGTGCTAATTAAAGGGAAAGCAGGAGACTGCTTGGTAACACCCACTCTGCCCCTGGAATTTCAGGGCCAGGAGGAAGAAAGAAGGGGCGTGGCAGTTCACTAAAGATTTAGTAGGCTCATGGCATCTCTCTGAGTCTCCCAAAGTATCCACTTGGGCGGTGGCCACCCATTTCCTAAAGCAAACTGTGGCGAGCCATGCCACCAACTGATGGGGTCAGATCATAGTACCAGTAAGCATTTCTTTGAATTTTATTGAAAATTGACATGGACATTAAAAAGATAATGAGCTAAACAGTGCTGGTTCTGGGATGGATCTTGTGGAAAATGAAAGCCCCAGAGTGACTGGTCACACCTTTGAGCAAAAAGAACCCCAGAAAAGAAAGGAAAAAAGCGAACACAGATTCTGGAGAACATGCAAAGAGGCTCTCTCAAGAGACGGGACAGCAGAATGTCGGTGTTTGTGGTATGGCTACGTGGGGAGGAGCACATGGTATTCAGATGTTACGCAAAGCCAGTGAATTGAAGGCAGATTTACCAACATCAAAGCTCTCCTTACAGATACCACGTTGAGCAGAAACCTCTTGCAAAGCCCCTGAATTCCCTTGGAAGTTTTCATTGAGAACTTTGCTCTCCCTAAACTGAAAGCCCCTCAGTCTCTTTCTCCAGCTGAGAGTTCCTGCTTCATTTCTCCCTTGCTGGGGTCTGCAGAAGGTCCTGTGAATGCTGAAGATGCAAATGTCACTCAGCTTTCTCTTCCATATTCAGAATCAGCTGAATAGTGGCTGAAGACAGTCAACCCATTGAAACAGAGAACTGGTTTTAAAAAAGCGTAAAACTCAAGACCTCTTGAACAGCGCTTCCACACCCACAGCTGAGGTCCCCTGCCCCAGTCACTTCACGCCTGGTGAATGGTCCTGTCGTTGTCTCTCTGAGGTCACATGTGCTCCATTTCCAGCTCTCATGATTCTTTTCCTGCCTTTTGAGTTTAGGACAAGACACTTCCACGTGAAGGACAATGTGAGTCAGAAGAGAGCTTCTTGCCTAGACTCAGGGACACATGTACACTTGAGTGTGGTGTATATGTGCAGTTGCAGGGGAGGGGAACTGGTTGGTTTCTTGCTTGCGACAATATGGAGCCCTAACTAATTCTTCTATAATGGCAGTCTTCTCTCTTAGACTTAGTACAGCTGCTGAAGACAAGGTTAAAAAAAGCTGGAAAGGGAGAGAGAAAGAGAGAGAAAACATGAAATTAGCCGAAGAGAAAGGACATTCAAAGTGGCATGCGAGGGCAGTGGGCAGTGGAAGGTAGCATAGATTAAATGCCAAGAAGACAGGATCAGGTCACGGAGGGGCCATCACCATGGGGAAATCTGTTGAGAAGGTCTGAAGAACACCACACACCAGTTTAATGAGTCTCGCTTTAATTAAAAAATAAGCACATATTAACAGCCACATGTGAATGCCAAATGATTAAAAAAAAAAGATCCAAACAAATGGGGAATGCAGACTTCTTGGCTTCAGAGAAATAAAGTGTGTGTGTGTGTGTGTGTGTGTGTGTGTGTGTGTGTGTGTGTGTGTGTTTCAGGAAAGCCATCTAGTGTAGAAAAATAAAATCACAGACCATATCTAATTACTGGTTTTTGATACACTAGAAGTAAACAGAGTATAGGGTTTTTAAAAAAAAAATAGCAACAACTGTACTAACTAAAAAGACTTTTGAATGAAGAAAAACAAAAACCATTCCATTTACAGTGAGAAGGACTACTCAATGAAATTTAGCATCATCTCAATTCCTTTAATAGGTTGGCTTGCTTTTTATATCCACCAAAGTTCCCTGATTACAAGAAGCCACACAGCGCACCAGTGAAATGGACACTGGCCTGGTCCTGGTCCAGACTTATAGGAATGCTAACTGACCATCAGGCGTCATGGTATCTGGCCTGTAACTTTCCCTTCATCTGCCGCTACCCATCCTAGTTTTCTATGTGAAAACCCTCAAGATGCCTCTAACATTGGTGGTCTCTCTGAACACCAAAAAAAATATTGTCTCCAGGAACATACACAAATAGTTGGGTCCCTTGGTGAAATGGATTGGGAAACCTAAGACATGAAATTTTGCTTGGGCTTTGCCAAGAAATAGTAGTGGGGCCTTGGATAAGTCCTTTAATTTTTCTATGTGTCAATATCTTCCATAGGGGGTTACATCAGCCATGCTGACCAAAGAGCTCCCACTTTATATACAATTCCTGCTTGTTTTTGGAAGGTTTTGAAATCTTCCAACCTCAAGTAGTGAATTTATATACAAATGCAAATGAGAGGCCTCATTTCTGGGAGGGTGGATTAAAACCCCTAAGGCAGCTGGGTGTAGGGGTGTTTGCCTTTAATCCCAGCACTCAGGTACTTCAGACAGACAGATCTCTGTGAATTTGAGGGTCAGCCTGGTCTACACTGTGATTTCATGGCCAGCCAGGGCTACATTGTAAGAGCCTGTCTTAAAAACAACAATAACATCAGAAAAACCACATAGCTACAATTAAGGGGTCTTTCTCAAGGAGACTCAGACAGCCTTAATTCAGTAGCCTGACTGTGTATCTGAGGGTATCTGGGGATTCTGCTTTTGGGCTTTCTGTTCTTGATGATGGTGGCTTGTTCTGTTTTACCTGCAGGCATGGGGTTTCCTGAAATTCTGCACTTCCAGTTGGTTTTTCCCAAGAAACTAGCTTATCTTTCCCATTGTCACCATGTGTTTGTCTCTGGCCACTGGCCAGTACATGTCAAAATGGCCTTCTCTCTTTGCCAACAAAAAAAGAGAAGCAGAAAGTATGCGCATTGACTTGCTTGCTTTTAACTAGTTGTCCTTTGGACTTAGTCTTGGCTTCTGGGTACTAACTATGATTGTAGAGAATAACCCCCTCTCATTTGCAACAGTTCAGAAAGCCTGTAAATTTACTATTGCCTTGTGTGTTTTAGAGGTAGTGACCATACACCTTTAAAATATGAAAAAAGAAGAAAGTCATGGTCCACGCCAGTCAGACTGGGAGGCAGAAGCAGAACGAGACAGAGAGAGAGAGAGAGAGAGAGAGAGAGAGAGAGAGAGAGAGAGAGAGAGAGAGAGAGAGAGAGAGAGAGAGAGAGAGAGAGAGAGAGAGAGAGAGAGAGAGAGAGAGAGAGAGAGAGAGAGAGAGAGAGAGAGAGATGGGGCCTTAAAGTACCAGAGCGGGGGTAGGGGGCCCAGCTGTCTGGCACCATTAAAAAAAGTTGTCAGTTAAAATAAGAACCTTCGCTTAAAAGGCTAAGTGGAGTCCAGTCCAGCTGTAGCAGGGCATACTATTCAGTACACAGCCATGGATTACTGCAAAGGAAGGGCAGAGAGACGCCATATTAGCCACAGATCATTGCCAGGTCGCCTCTATCTATTGCTCTGACAGTGGAAGGCTCTGTACTTCAAAGGGTTTCCAAAAGCCATAATCAGATGGGACCCGCTATAAAACTTAAGACCAGGGTATTTTTAAAATATCAAATCCTTAGACCAAAGTAAATGTCAAGCGACAGTGCCTCTTTTCTTCCCTCCAGCTAATGGTCTCTCCTCTTTTTAAGTGGCATGTGTGTGAATGCAGATCCAACCCATCATTACAATCATCAGGTAGACTAGAATACTCATCAAGGCAAGACCCAAGCCTAGATTCTTTGACCAGCTCACCAGTTTACAAACTGGGACTATTATTCTTGCTATTACACCTCATTGGGATGGCAAGAAATGAACAATGACATGCTAAAACCCCCAAGGAAAATTGTAAAAATCTATATCATCGAAGACTCTAGACTGATAATAACATTCTGGTTTATTTTCCCTTCTGTATCTGTGGGCTACCCAAATTAGACAGAGAGGGGGAATATACATTGTCTTCCCCAGAAAATATGTTTTATAGGAAGGGCATGGGGCAAATACATGTGTGGCTGACTTTTTTTTAAAAGACTTATTTATTTATTATGCATATAGTGATTTGTCTGCATGTATGTCCACAGGCCAGAAGAGGGCACTGATCTCATTACAGATGGTTGTGAGTCACCTTGTGGTTGCTGGGAATTGAACTCAGGACCTCTGGAAGAGCAGTCAATGTTCTTAACCTTTGAGCCATCTCTCCAGCCCCGTGTGGCTGACTTTTAGCACAGCTTGTGTAAGGTGACTGTGAGTGAATGGGATCGGGAAAGGGCTGGGCTAAGATGGCAGAAGAAATAGTTATCACTGACAACTCTTTTGAAGCCTATGAGAAGGGGTTATGGCTCCCGAGATTAGAGGGCAATTCTTTTGACTAGCATGCAGGAGCATAAAGGGAAAGCTTTGATCCCTGACTAGTGCTTATCCAGCCAGGGTAGATGGCAGTACCTCAAGGAAACGAGTAGCAGTCAAATTCAAATGGGGAAGCTGGTACATGAGAAGTAGCAAATAGCCACCCCTGAACACGTGACACTCCGGCAAAGATGGGGATGGGGGAGTGGGGGCACAGATGACTGGGGGTACTAGGAGAGGGCCTGAGGTATGGAATGTGTCTCCAAGCCTCGTCATTGTTGGCTTCTTGGTCTGAGGCCAGACATCATAATTTGCCTCTCAGGCTTCTATAAACATTCGCAGGAAGAGAGGGGAGGGCCTGGGTTGTATGCCCCCTAAACAAGGTAAGGGGGAAATAAGGACAGGGAGGCCCAGCTCTGTTGCACAGGAAAGGGTGCGTCTACAGGAAGCCCAAACTGAAAATGAAAAGAGAAGGGGGGTTAATGAATGGATTGATGAATGTACCCCTAAAAAGCCAGAAGGAAGTTAATTTATAACTAATAGATAAAGTAGAATAGCCATGTTAGATGGTCTTAAAAGTCTTATGCACTGGCCCCTGGGAACATGCTTTCTCATATGAATGGCAGCAGTAGAGGCATTAAAAAGCAAAATAAAGATCAAAACCCACACAAATAATTTTTAAAATCTGCTCTTGACACACAATCCCACATACACACATCCAGATAACCTTGTCTCTGGTGACCTCAGGCCACCAGACACAGCATGAGGCTCACAGCCCCCTTGTACCACAGGACATGAAGAAGCTGAGGTCACAAATTTGGTGTCTTTTGTAGCAAGGTTAGCTGGCTAACTGCAACCCTAAGCCAACACCTGTATGTCAAGTGTGTGATGGGGTGGGGGTTCCAATCAGTAATCTGTAAACCTGAACTACAGAAACCCATCACTGGCTTGTGTTCATGTAACACAGTGACCTGTCTCCTGCCGAGATTTCATTCCTATGATATAAGTAGGTCAAGTCGTATTGGTCTCTGTGTCATGTATGAAGAAACTCACATGCCTGAGATCATAAAGAAAGTATCGTTACATCCAGGATAAGAGATATCTAATCAAGATTCTTTTATCCCTGGGAGAGTATCAATGGTGTCTGAGAATTTCTTGGCTATGTATTGAAATCCTTGTTTATGATCTGAAGAATGAGCTTTCTTATGGTTTGGATATGGTGTGTGATTCAAAGACTCCCATTGAAGGCTTCCTTGTCAGCTAAAAGGTTTTGAGGAAGTGACTAGAATCTGAGGGCTCTGATTTAATAGAGTAATCCCTGGAAGAATTCCTACCATGAGGGCATTGCTGAAAGTGGGCCTATTGGAAGAAGTAAGTCACTGAAACAAGCAAGTCCTGTGATGCTGTATCTTGTCCCTGCCTCTTTCCTCTGTGATGCTGTATCTCGTCCCTGCCTCTTTCCTCTGTGATGCTGTATCTCGTCCCTGCCTCTTTCCTCTGTGATGCTGTATCTCGTCCCTGCCTCTTTCCTCTGTGATGCTGTATCTCGTCCCTGCCTCTTTTCTCTGCTTACTGGCTGGCATGAAGTGAGAAGCTCTGGTCCAGTACACCTCTCTACCATGATGCTCTGCCAAGACCAACGCCGCACCAATGAGGTCAATTGACCATGAATAGAATTGAGCTTTGCTTCCTTAAGTTGATTTTCTCAGGGACTTTTTGGAAAAAACAGACATAACAGTCATCCCATTAAATGAGGGCTATTTGTGGGGAGTGGAGTTAGATGATCATGCATATACGGGAATATGCAATCAATTTTCCACAATGAATACACCTGCTCTCACACATACATAATCCTCCCTTAGCCTGCATTCCAGGTGGCTTTTCTGATCAACCCCCCAAGTGAAAGTTTTGGGAAGGAGGCACATGACCTTTGCTGCTTTCAGATCCCAGGCAGCTAAAGCCCTCCCAGACCAACTGATCTAGAATAGCTTTCGCAGTCTACTACAGGGAAGCTTGCCAAGAGGAGACAACCTAAATGGGGTTGAAATTGGCTGCTCCGGCTGTTTATTGTGTCTCACTTATAAGGCATGGCTTTAATGATAGTTTTCCAGGGTTCATTTTAAGGATGGCCACTAACAAGGATGTATTCAGGGAACTCTGAATGAAAATGTGTCAGTTGGTGTGCAATGAAGTCTGAATTAGCCGAAACAGAATTCATCAGGCTACATCTTTCCTACTGTCCTTGAAAATGGTGGAACAAAGAAATGCCATATGAACCGAGCTCCTACTATGTTTCAGACACTTGACTAGGCACCTAGCATTGAGTAGATATTCTAGGAATTTAGTCTTCCTAAATAGGGGCTCCAGGGATTGTTTTTAAACTAGGCCATAAATCATTACTTTGTTCTTTGAGGACTCATTTGTTTGGCTCAGTTTCCTGGACTTTCTGTTTCAGAAGCCTGAATAGACTTCCTTGCTGGGATTTGCTTGAAAGGAGGATGCCTTAGCCAGCTAGCTGCCTGAAGTCTCTAGTGCAATGATTGCAACCATTGGTTTGATGACTAACAGCAGGCTCCATATAAACCACTGCATGGTAGAGTCAGGGGACATCTTCGGAACAATTTAGTCTCCAACCCAAACACCAAAAGTAAGAAAGGCAATTTATGAGACCACTGGGGTACTTTCAAAACCAACTAGACATTCCATGTTAGCAAATTATTATTAATTTTGTAGGTGTAATAATGATGGCTGTGTTTGTTTAGAGATCATTATCTCCTAGAAATATATACTATGTATTTTACACGTAAAATGATACAGCTTTTGCCTTACAATAATCCGGCATGTCTGGATAATTGAGGAAACAGGATTAGTTGCATGTCAATGATTCTTTGATAACCACCTTCCAGGAATATGGGGCTGAATTATACTATTACCTCTTCTCTACATTTGAAAATTTCCATGTTTGTTTTAAAAAGAAATCTAAGTGTGCTGTTAAAAATATTTCTATTCAATTCCTACTCCCACTACCTGATTTTGGTAGAGCATACAAAAGGTGCTCAATCACTGCTTTCATTCATCCTATAATCTTGTACTTACAGAACTAATGTTTAAAAGGTGTGTGTGTGTGTGATGTGTGTGCAGGTGCCCACAAAAGCCAGAAGAGGTTGTCAGATCTCCTGGAGCTAGAGTTACAGGCAGCTGTGGCTGCCTCATCTGTGGATACAGAAAACCAAATTCCACTCATTTGGAAGAGCAGCAAGTGTTCTTAACCACTTGAATCATTTCTCTACATCCAGACTTATATGTTTAAAGTTAATGTATTAATAACTGCTTATGGGTGCACATGCCATGGTGTAGTGTGATCAGAGGAGAACTTTTTGGAGTTGGTTTTCTTCTTATAACTTTACATGGGTTCTACGGATTGAACTGAGGCTGCTAGACTTAAACGGCTTTCTGTGAAAGGTCAATGCTGCCACGGAAGCCAGCCGAGCCACCTCGACGGCCCTTACAGAACTAAATGTAAGGATTTCCATGTAGCATCTGAAGTTTCATTGCCTTCCACTTTGGTTATATTTTGGGTGGTGGGCCATGTAATCAAAAAAAATTGGAGAACTCGAATCCCTCGGATAAGGGGCAGTTATTAGTGGGAGAGAGAAGCAACTTCTCATTGCACATTCCTAAATCTGGAGTATGCGAGGGGTCAGTGCTGACTGTGACACTGCAGGCAGAGAGTGTGAACCCAGCCATTTCCTGCATCATCACAATCCATACTGAATGTCATGATTTTGGCTCTGTATGAAAAAAAGTCTGAACTGAAGCTTTACATGTTGCTCAGATTATCTACCTACCTATGCTACACAGTTTTCCTAGCAGCAAATGCCATCACACACATACCTCCAATCAGGCAGGACAGCAGGCAATCCACATGTAGCATGCTCACTTACAACAATGACAGATTACCGCTTCATACTGTAAGTCATGGGAGGAAACTGGCAGGTCTAATGGAGCCATTTCTTTTATGGTTAATTATATGTGTCGCAAGTGTGGGGTTTGAGGGATATGTTCTAGAAGCCACTGCCGGTTCTATTTAGAGTTAATAAAGCTTACCAGGACCCTGGGTCTCATGCAGCATGCAGCAAACAGCAGAGTTAACTGTAAAACAGTAAGAGCTGATGAAGACGGAGTGAGCATGAGGAGAAATCCAATATTATGAATTGACACAAATAGTGAAGTGTCAGAGGTCAGAGGAGATGAAGAGAAGCAGGGGGGGAACAGGTGAGGGTGGCTCGGTAGACACCCCTGAAACACTGGTATTCTTTCTTAGTCTCTTTAGGGGCACCCACAGGGAATGCTGAAGCTGGGAGTTGATCAGATCCAGCCACAATCGATCTAAAAAACATTACTATCACCATGTCTACCTTCCCCCAAACCATCACCATGGGAGCAGAGTAGCATGAGTTTAGTGGCACACCTTCTAGAAGCTAACCAATTGTTCAGAGACCTATAGGGAGCCCAGACCTGGGACCACTCATAGGTATTAGAGTGCAGATGTGGACAGGCTATTGTGCTGGCTCTGATTGCTAGTGTAAGGTGCCACATCCCAGCAAGGTTTACACCCATCTCTGAACTGGAAAAGGGCACTGTCACCAACTCCAAATATTTCTGGAGGGTGGGCAAAGTTGTGTCCCTGTTCAGTCTTCTGCATGAGATGGGAGGAAGTCAGTGAGTTTGGGGGAAAGTCTGCTCTGGGAAGTTTGCACTGAGCACCATGTATGCAGCAGTGGCTCTCAACCTGTGGGTCCCCAACCCCCTTGGGGGTCACCTAAGACCATTGGAAAACACAAAATTAGAGCTATGAAGTAGTGACGAAAATAAAGTTTATGGTTAGAGATCATGACAACATGAGGAACTGTAGGTCACAGCTTTAGGAAGGCTGAGAACCACTGGTCTATAGCATTAGTGCAGCCTAAACAAACCAGGTGCTGACAAATTTTTCTATTTATTTACTTTTTTATTTTTTTGAGACAGGGTTTCTCTGTGGTTTTGGAGGCTGTCCTGGAACTCGATTGTGTAGATCAGGCTGATTTTGAACTCACAGAGATCCGCCTGCCTCTGCCTCCTGAGTGCTGGGATTAAAGGTGTGCGCCACCACTGCACAGCTACTTTTGGTTTTTTGAGACAGGGTTTCTCTGTGTAACAGTCCTGGCTGTCTCGGAACTTGCTCTGTAGACCAGACTGACTTCAACCTCAAGTGGTAGGATCAAAGGTGTGTACTACCACCACCCAGCACAATATAAATTTTTAAAAAGGAAAATATGAATCATTTCCTGTTAGTATAACTAGTATGCCATGACTGATAAATGGTTCCAGATGGTGCATCTAAAGAGACTTTCCATCTGTCTAGTTGAACCTTCGTACCAAAAAAAAGTCAGTGAGTTTGATATGTAGTTTTAAGATTCTATTCTGGGGGTGATGGTGGGTCATGGCAAGAGGATCTCTATGAGTTCGAGGCCAGCCTGGCCTACAGATCAAGTTCCAGGATAGCCAGAGCTGCACAGAGAAACCCTGTCTGAAAAAAAAACAAAAACAAACAAAAAGATTCTATTCTGGAAAAAATATCTCTGGACCAAATTGGTGAAAATATTCAAATTGTATAATAGGTAGTCAAATTGGATAATAAGATTGTAAAACTCAGTGCCGTGAAATATAAAACACTTTACATACCTGGTGTGATTCAGAAGCCAGCACAGAGGCAAAAAGATACTTCTTTTAGAAAGTATCCAGTGGCTGACTCAAACCAGTGGCCCAAAATAGAAGCTCACGAGCATGGGCATCTCTGAGATCTTACAGATCCTTTAGTAAGGATATAGTTAAATACTCCATCTCGGAATTCCCTGAGTCCCACCACACAAATAGCCATAGAGCACAAGGGAACCTCTGGATGTTTTCTTGCCAGAAACATTTTCCTCTTCTCTGGCTCAAAATGAGGAATGGGTAATTTCTGCAAGCAGAGACGGGGGTAGGGTCAGGGCTATTAACTCACCAAACACTTGGAGAAACAAAAATGGTTTCTGTACCATTCCCCAAGCTTGAGAATGGCTCCTGCAGAGGATACTGGCATCTGAAGGCTCCCCACTAAGTTCTTAGTATCCCAGGCTGGGCAGAATTAAGCAGCCAGCAGGAAGAGGTATAGTAAAGGGATGGGGGATGGGAGACGGGGTTCAGCCTTCAGTAGCAGCATTTATCTTTCGCAGGTTGCAGCTGTTGAAAACTGAGGCCAAGTAAGGGTTAGGTTGTAGGCCCCTCCCCTCAGATGTGGGAGGAGCTAACAGACTGGCATGCTGCATGAGATTGAAAGTCTACACAGTGGTTCTCACCCTTCCTAATGCTGTTATCCTTTAATACAGTTCCTCATGTTGATGGTCTACACAGTGGTTCTCACCCTTCCTAATGCTGTTATCCTTTAATACAGTTCCTCATGTTGATGGTCTACACAGTGGTTCTCACCTTCCTAATGCTGTGACCCTTTATTACAGTTCCTCATGTTGATGGTCTAGACAGTGGTTCTCAGCCTTCCTAATGCTGTGACCCTTTAATACAGTTCCTCATGTTGATGGTCTACACAGTGGTTCTCACCCTTCCTAATGCTGTGACCCTTTAATACAGTTCCTCATGGTGATGGTATACACAGTAGTTCTCACCCTTCCTAATGCTGTGACCCTTTAATACAGTTCATCATGGTGAGGGTCTACACAGTGGTTCTCACCCTTCCTAATGCTGTGACCCTTTAATACAGTTCCTCATGTTGATGGTCTATACAGTGATTCTCACCCTTCCTAATGCTGTGACCCTTTAATACAGTTCATCATGGTGAGGGTCTACACAGTGGTTCTCACCCTTCCTAATGCTGTGACCCTTTAATACAGTTCCTCATGTTGATGGTCTAGACAGTGGTTCTCACCCTTCCTAATGCTGTGACCCTTTAACACAGTTCCTCATGTTGATGGTCTAGACAGTGGTTCTCAACCTTCCTAATGCTGAGACTCTTTAATACAGGTCCTCATGTTGTAATGACCTGCAACCATAAAACTATTTTCATTGCTACTTCATAACTGTAATTTTGCTACTGTTATGAATTGTAATGTGAATATATGTTCCCCAATGGTCTTAGGTGACCCCTGTGAGAGGGTGGCTCAACTTCAAGAGGGGTCTTAACCCACAGGTTGGGAAACACTGGTCTAGGATCTGGAAAAACGCATAGGACTTCTGCTAAAAGATCATGGCCTGCCTATCCTTTCACCCCCTCCTTAGCCTCATATGTCTCTCACAGTTTGTTCCCTACTGTCTAGCCCTGTTCCCTTACCATCCACCCTGACTTAGCAGAGCCTTCCCAGATGGGTCAAACGACAAAGCTACACTTCTGGGAATGGGTCCCCTCCTCTCAGCAACTCAAACTCGGGTGCCATAGGTACACTGAACACTACTTGAGTCTAACTGCCATCCCGCACTTCATACCTGCCCACCAACACCTTTTAGCCTCTAGGTCCTGGATTACAGGTGGTGGATGGAGTGTGTGTGTGTGGGGGGGGGGGTAGCTGGGCAGGAAAAGAAAGATCGTGCGCACACACACACACACACACACACACACACACACCAGCAGCCTGTTACTTACTTCTTCTTCTCTTTGTCCCTTTTCAGAGTCTGCGAGCCTCCAGCCTGAGAAGCCTGAGACTGGAGCAGCTCAGCCGCCGTCTTTCTCTGTTTGAAAGCGTTCACTTCATCATCCAGGGACTTCTTCTTATCCTCCAGCTTCTTCTTCTCTTCCTGGTGCAGCTTCTTCAGACGGTCAAACTTCTCATGCAGCTGGCAGAGAGGCACAGGGAGGTTAGAGGGAGTGTCCCCCGCTCCCCAGCAGTGACAAGCCCCTGAGCCCAGAGCCAAGACCAGCGTGGGTGGGAACCACTGTGACTACAACCCTGCAGGACTCTGGGACATTAGGAGACATTCCTGTCGTTGACTGCCATGATGGCGCCATGGATTATTGTAGATTGCTCTAAATTATTCTCAGAATCTACTCCTGAAATGGTCAAGGAACAATACATTGTATGTAACCAAGCATTTTATTTAAAAGAACCCCTGTAGTTATTGGGTGTGGTTGATAATAGTATTTACTTCATTTGTTACAAGCCAACCACTAAATCTAATACATAAAAACTTTTTTCATTAATACAGCACTCTATTTGCTTTCTTTTTGAGACAGGGTCTTTCTGTGCACCTCAAGCTAACCTTGAGCACTGAGATTACAGGTGTATTCCAGCATGCCTAGAGTACAACACAGTTGAGGTAGACTCTGCTACTATGTCTGTTTTATGAGGAAACTGAAAGTCTCATAAATGAAGATATTTCCCCAAGGTCAACCCAACTTTTGGAGGACTATACAATGGGATCTCCCATATATAAAGTTCTCCTCCTGGCTAAGTCCACTTAGGATCTACCAAGGCTCCCCAAGGCTCAATTACAGGCATGTGCAGCCATGCCTGGCTCTTTATGTGGGTGTAGCTCTGAACTCAAGTTCTCATGCTTCCAGGCTAAGCACTCTTATTCAGTGAGGTGTCTCCCCAGCCTCCCCAACTCCTGCCGCCTTCTCTTATCCCCTCTAATCAGGAAAGATCAACATGGATCATGATAAAAATTTAAGCCATAGCAACAAGAGAGAAAAAAGATTGCATAAAGTTGGATGAGTGTCGAGAACTCAGCCTTTTCAAACAAGTTTTAAAAGATTTATTTATTTTACATGTATGTGTGTTTTGCCTGCATGTGTGTATATGCACCACATATGTGCCTGGTACCCTCAGAGGTCAGAAGAGGACATCAAATCTCCTGGAACTAGAGTTAAGGATAGTTGGGAGCCACCATATGGGTGCCGGGTCCTCTGTAAGAGCAACAGGTGTTCTTAACTGCCGAGCCATTTCCCCAGCCCTGAGATCTCAGTCTTAACGAGAGGTAGGGCTTCCTTCACCTTGGATGGAATCTCAGACTCAAAGAACAGCAAACATATTCTGGCATGCTGTTGTGGCAAGTGGATTAGAGTACCAGAAGCATGGGCAGTCAGGCCAGGCGTTGGTGGCACACGCCTTTAATCCCAGCACTTGGGAGGCAGAGACAGGCGGATCTCTGTGAGTTCGAGGCCAGCCTGGTCTACAGGGCAGCCTCCAAAACAATACAGAGAAACCCTGTCTCAAAAAACCAAATAAGTAAATAAATAAATAAAAAAGAATCATGGACAGTCATGCCACTGGAATGCACAAAATACCCTAATACTAGCTTCACCTAGTCACTTGAGGGGAGTGTCAGCTGCTAAAGGTAATGGGTGACATTTTTCTTTTTAAAGTGAAACTGAACTAAAACCAATACCTTTAACAAAGTTTTGGTGACAGCTGTGGAGAGTCCTAGGAGATCAAAGATGAAGAGATTTGGGGAGTAATTGTTTCCCTTATTTATGTTTGAGGGGTGTAACGGTGAATCTTGACTGCCAACTTGATGGGTGATTTATAATCACTGTGGAAACTAGCCTCTAGGTGTCTATGAAAGTGTCTAGATTGGGCTAGCTGAGGTGGAAACAAACACTCTGAAGGTAGGTGGCGCCATTCTATGGGCTGGGGTCTTGAACTGAATTAAAAAGAGAAAATTAAGTGGGTAGCAATAGTCAGTGTGTGTGTGTGTGTGTGTGTGTCTGTCTGTCTGTCTGTGTGTGTCTCTCTTTCTCTCTGTGTGTCTGTGTCTCTCTCTCTGTGAGTGTGTGTGTCTGTCTGTCTGTGTCTCTCTGTGTGTGTGTGTGTCTGTCTCTCTCTCTCTGTGTGTCTGTCTGTGTCTCGGTGTGTCTGTGTCTCTCTCTCTGTGTGAGTGTGTGTGTTTCTGTCTGTCTGTGTCTGTGTGTGTCTGTCTCTCTCTCTCTCTCTGTGTCTGTGTCTCTCTGTGTGTGCGTTTGTGTATGTGTGTGTCTGTCTGTGTCTGTGTGTGTCTGTGTCTCTCTGTGTGTGTGTGTATGTGTGTGTCTGTCTGTCTTTCTCTCAGTGTGTGTGTCTGTGTGTGTGTCTGTGTCTCTGTGTGTGTGTGTTTGTGTATGTGTGTGTCTGTCTGTCTCTCTGTGTGAGTGTGTATGTGTCTGTCTGTCTGTGTCTGTGTGTGTGTCTGTCTCTCTCTGTGTGTCTATGTCAGTGTGTGTGTGTCTGTGTCTCTGTGTGTGTGTGTTTGTGTATGTGTGTGTCTGTCTGTCTTTCTCTCAGTGTGTGTGTGTGTGTTTGTGTATGTGTGTGTCTGTCTGTGTCTGTGTCTCTGTGTGTGTTCGTGTTTGTGTATGTGTGTGTCTGTCTGTTTTTCTCTCAGTGTGTGTGTGTCTGTGTCTCTGTGTGTGTATGAGTGTGTGTGTGAGTGTGAGAGTGTGTGTGTGTGTCTGTCTGTCTCTATCTGTGTGTATGTATGTCTGTTTCTCTCTCTGAGTGTGTGTGTGAGAGTGTGTGTGTGTGTCTGTCTGTCTCTGTGTGTGTGTCTGTCATCTGTCTCTCTGTGAGTGTGTGTGTGTGTGAGTGTGTGAGTGTGTCTATCTGTCTGTGTGTCTCTCTCTCTCTTCTTGTACAAGGTGACCAATTGCACTACGCTTGTGCTCTCACGCTTTCTCACCATGATGAATTAATTGTGTCCCCAGAATTGTGAGCCAAAACAAACTCTTCCTTAAATTGTTTTTGTCGGGTAGGTCTTTGATAATAACATCATAAAGAGTAACTAAGGCGCCGGGCGGTGGTGGTGCACGCCTTTAATCCCAGCACTCGGGAGGTAGAGGCAGGTGGATCTCTGTGAGTTCGAGGCCAGCCTGGTCTACAGAGCGAGTTCCAGGACAGCCTCCAAAACAATACAGAGAAACCCTGTCTCAAAAAAAAAAAAAAGAGAGAAACTAAGGTCCAGAGAAGTGACATGCTGGCTGATATTCCAAAACCGTACTGTATGCCAACTACTCTGGCATCAGGATGTGAACTGGTAGAGCGGCCTTGTAAGCCAAGGCCATTGCTTAGAGGAATAACTGCATATGATTAATACTTTCTAAATAACTTATTATTAGGGGCTGGCGGGATGGCTCAAGGGTTAAGAGTACTTTCTGCTTTTCCAGAAGATTCAGTTTTAATCCCCGTCGTCTGCTTGGCAGCCCACAACCACCTGTAGCTCCAGTTCCAGGAATCCAATGCCCTCTTCTGGCCTCCTTAGGCACTGGGCATACAAGTGGTACACAGACATACATGCAAGCAAAAACCATCCATGAGCCAGGCGGTGTGGCGCATGCCTTTAATCCCAGCACTTGGGAGGCAGAGGCAGGCAGATCTCTGTGAGTTCAAGGCCAGCCTGGTATACAGAGTGAGTTCCAGGACAGGCTCCAAAGCCACATGGAAACAAAAAAATCCATGCACATAAAATATCATTTTATTATTGTTATTACTAATTACTGTGTATGTACATGTGTCGTATGTACATATGGAGACAGAGGACAATGTTTAGAAGTTGTGTCTCTCTTGTCTAGGCCATAAAGCATGCCCTACACTAGCTGTTTGTGAACTTGCAGGTGACTCTATTGTCCTGGCCTCCCATCTCACCATAGGGATGCCAGGGTTACAGATGGGTGACACTGTATCTGGCTTTTATGTGGATTCCAGGAATTGAACTCAGGTTGTCAAGCTTGACCTACAAGCATTTACCCGCTGAGCCAGCCCAAACTGCATGTGCTTAGAAAGGACCATCAAATCTTAGTTTAAAAACCAGCTAGAACTTCACTAATGCCTTTTCCACTCTAAACCAAAATAGAGGTGCTAGGCGCAGCGCTCAGTGATGGAAAGAACACATATCTAGCATGCAGAATGCCTGCGCTCCATCCCTAGCCCCACAGCAAATAGACATCCAGTCAAACAAACAAAAATTCAAGAGGACGGAGTAGGAAATCTAAGTGAACAGCAACCCCACTGTTGACATTTTGGATTATATCATTTTATCTAATATGGTCTGGGACTACTTTCCCCTATAGTTACCAGAGAGGGTAGGATAGGGCAGGTCAGCCATGAAAATATTATTTGTCTCTACAGAACTCCAAATTTCCAGGAAGTGGGAAAAGGATCAACCTTCCCCTGACTCAGAGTGTTCCACTGCTCAAGAGTATTTTGTGTGATCCCTATAGTTACCAGAGAGGCTCTGTACCTGTACTGTTCAATACATGAGTTTCATTGAACCAGTTGCATAATGACTGAACATTTGAAATGGGCTAAGGAGAGGGACTGAATTTTGAATCTTATTGTATATTTAAAAATGGCCAAGAGTATAATTTAAATGCAGCAGTACCGGGGTTTTGAACCTAGGGCCTCAAGCATGCTATACAAAAGTTCTACCACTAGACTTCATCCCTAGCCCCCTTTCAACTTTTCTTAGTTAGACACAGCATGTTACTAAGTTGCCTAGGCAGGCCTTGAACTTGTGCTCTTGCTAGATTATAGGCCTGTGTGAACAGGCTTGGCTTACATTTTAAATGTTTCCAACAGAACAAAAAAGATAAACAGCTGGGAGGAGGTGTTACACGCCTTTAATCCCAGCACTTGGGAGGCAGAGGCAGGTGGATCTCTGTGAGTTCGAGGCCAGCCTGGTCTACCGATCGAGTTCCAGGACAGCCTCCAAGACAATACAGAGAAACCCTGTCTCGAAAAACCAAAAAAAAAAAAAACCAACAACAACAAAAAGATAAACATATGAAATGAAGTGACTGATGTATCTGCTTGATTTAGTAACTGTTATATAACATGAAAACTGCACATCATATTCCATAGTTTTATGCAATTAATAAAATATTTTTGAGTATTATACTACATGCCTGTAATCCTAGGATCTGTGAGGCTCAAGCAATAGGTTCTAAAATTTGAGGCCAGCCTAGGCTATACAGTGAGTTCTACTCCAGCCTGGGCTGCATAAAGAAACTTTGCTTCAAAACCTAAATAGATCAATTAATTCAAATTTTCACCACCACCACCACCAACAAAATAACCACCATGTTGGATGGCAACACCTCTAAACAATGAACAGAATGATAAAATGCCCCAGCCTCAGGAATGAAGGCCAAAAAGACACAGATGTCATCAGATTCTCCCCATCCAAGCTGCACTCCAGTCCTCCCCAGAGGCTACAAGTCTCTCTCCTCTCTAGCTGCTCTGCCGAGGCCTCTCTCACCACACCCAGTCTCTCTCATCCTACCTGCCTGGTCTCCAGGGTCATACTTACCTCTTTTTCTGCCTCCTTGAGCTCAGCTTCTTTCTCTTTGACTCTCTGAACAAACATCTGTCTCATCTCCTCTTCTTTTTTCTGGAGCTCCCCAAGAAACTCATTTCTTTTCGCCTCATAGGTCTCCTGTAAACTGTAGATATGATCAAGTCAATTCCACCGTCTCTGGGGCAACTCCTGGTCAAGAAAATGGGGCCCCAACCATCCCGAGTCCCCTCATCCTCTCTTCCCTAATTCTGATTCTGACAGAGAAATGTAAAGAGAGAGAGCCACAAAAGGAGAGGGGACAGCTTGGTGTGCGACAGCAATATCACAGAACTGCCGAAGAGGGCAGGGGGCCCTGGTGAACTGCATACCTATTAGAAATCTTCTCTCTCTCTCTCTCTCTCTCTCTCTCTCTCTCTCTCTCTCTCTCTCTCTCTCTCTCTCTCTCTCTCTCTCTCTCTCTCTCTCTCTCTCTCTCTGTCTCTCTCTGTCTCTCTCTCCTTCTCTCTCTCCAAATGAGGTAACTGGGGTTCACAGAGGTGAAGTGACCCACTGAAGATTATACACCTAGCTAGAGGCAGAACTGACAGTAGAAGCTGGGTCTCCTGTTTCTTCATTTAAGGCCTCCCTCCCACCGCACGGCACTCCCAGGCTCTGGCTCTGAAAGCGACCACATTGATGGGTCACTGGCTCAAACACTTGCTGAGATTATACCTACCATGTAAGTGAACTGCGTGAATAAACATGATGCTAGTTGCTCAGCATCTAGAGCTCAGACCCACCATGCCTGTCCTTCAGGAACTCAGGGTCTAATGGGCGCTGCCTGGATGAAGACCACTGCCCCCAGTCTGCAAATCTTTTTTAAAAAGTAAGAGTCAACCTGGTGAAGAACAGAAGGGCTGTGCTCCTAAAAAAAGAGCAGCATGTGGGGAGGCACAAGTGGGGAGTACTGGTCCTGGGAATGTGGCTATACTCGAACAGGCGTGGGGAAATCATGCGAACCATGGAGGAGTGAGAGGGGAGGTTGCGAGCCTGGAAGAAGAGGACAGGCTTTGGATGCCACATTAAAGATGTGGACATGTAATCATCAAGTGGTTTTCATCACTCAGAACATGAGAAAGTCCACTTGGCTATTCTGGGAAGGAAACTGCAACAATTCAAGTATGACATGGCTGGATCTGCATGTTAAGGGCTGGCAGGGAATCTGGAGGAACAATAAGGGCTGCAGATTTCCAGGCCTTGGGAGAAATCAAGACAGCTCTCCTGTGAGTATCTCATAGCTACTTTCTCAAGTGTATCTTATTTCCCTCATGAGCATTGTTCTTTGAATCTTACGATCTCCATTAAACTTTCCTAATATACCTACAAGGAAGCTGGTTCTAGTCTATGGCTTGGGCCACTAGGTAGATGGTAGAACGTGACCAGCAATAGGAGATGCTAGAAAAGGAGGAAGAAGAACATGGACTAGATGGCAGACTACTGTGGATTCACATTAGGCATCCATAGGCTGTCTGAGTGCCAATGTCTGCGGTGCAGTTGTGTCCGTGACTTCAATGGTAAAGTTTTAGCTTCAGAGTCATCAAATACCTAGGTGGTAATCAGGGTTGTGAGAATAGAGACAACCAGAACAGAGAGACAGGAGTATGAAAGAGCAGAAGAGTCCCGTGGAAGGAACCCTGAGGGAGCACCAGCATTTAAAGGAGAAAACTGGAGAGCAGGAGCCCGAAAGAGAGACCAAGGAACAATAAGACAGGGGGCGGGGCGTGGATAAAGCTGGCCAGGCCAAAACTGAAAGAGCCCAAGGCAGAGTATCACAAGAAAGTCAAATTAATCTTTCACATTCAAATCAAAGAGAAAAATCAATTCACAATGAAATCGGCCACCAATCTACAATTGCAGGCCTTGGAGAGGGGCCCTTTTGTGGAGATCTGGAAGCAGAAGCCAGATTGCAGTGGGCTGAGGAAGTAAGTGATGGAGGAGGAAGAGGAACAGTAGATTCAGAAATGTTTCTTTCCTGTCAGAGACAAGCCTCTTGACAGGGGAGGAACTGGCAAGGAAGAGCAGAGCTAAAAAGGGACGTCATTGGGCGTTGATTATTTGCAAGCAAGGTAGACGGGTTGGAAAGAGTCAAGAAGATGCAGGGACAGAAGAATGGAGGATGGAGCAAAGGACCAAAGGCCAGGGCTAAATGGTCAGGTAGAGGCACACCTCCTTCCGGGTGCACATGAAAGCTGGGGAGGTGAAGGGGAGAGACCGAGGTGCTTTTAACAGAGACAAACTTGCTTTCCCCCAGCTCAGGAGCTCTGGCGCCCTGACCTGCCTGTCCACAGAGGGGTGGGAAGCTGCCATTCCTAAAGCAGACATCCCCAAAGGACTGCTTGTACAGTGTCCTAAGGCCCGTGTCTGCAATGAACAGGTTCTGTGGGATCCCAGGGGCCATTTGAATGCCCTTTCTCCCACAGATATTCTCCCTGGTTTGCTCATGGGTGTCTGACATTTCCTGAAAGGAGATAGAATTATGGTAAAGGGCAACACATGGTAATTTGAAATGCAGGGCTGATGACACATATTGTGTATACAGAGCAGATGCTTCCATTGGTCTATGGCTCCCACCTGCATAGTTAAAAGGCACTTTAGATTCTGATGTGAGGAAAACACCAGTGATTATTCATCCTCAGTGGTCAAAAGAAAACTCACTACTTAGGTAGTGCGGGAAGAGCATCACGAAGGTCACCAACATGAGCACAGTGACTGTGGTCCTGTTTTGTATCTTCCTATTTATTTATCTGGTCTTAGGGATGAACTTAGGGTCAAATCCCATACCCAGCTTTCCTTTTTTTCTTTTTTAAAGTGTTGCTCTTGCTATGCATCCTGGGCTTGAACAGTACTTTCTAGATACCCCATAGCAAGCCTTCTGCCTCAGCCTCCCCCGTGCTGGAATTCCAGGCATGCGCCACCATGCCTGACTTTCCCTATTTGTTTTTTGGGAACAGGGTAGAAGGGAAAGAAAACATTGGAAACCTGCCTTAAGCAACAGGAGAGCCAGATGAAGAAAGTGGGAACAGACGACAGTTCCTAACTGCCACCCAGGAGAACAAAGCCCCAGCTCAGGGTCTCTGTGGGCCTGGCTCACTAGAGCAGCTATATATGGGAAGAAGGGGCTAAGCAGTGACCAGCAGAGTGGTTTCTCAGGGCCCCCTCCCTTCCCTGCTTTTCTAAGCAGGGTGGTAGCTCTTCTGGCGGATGTGCAGACACAGAGAGGGAACAGTCAAGCAGCACTGGTGACCCAGGTGTTACTTTGGGCCCTCTAGCTAACTCCCATACCTCTCATTCCCTGCTGATTCTCCAGGGAAAGGCTTCGTGAGCTGGACCAGGCTGGCCAGGCCTGGCCTGGTATGAGTGGTACCTGAATGGCTTGCTGTCAGGGTCGGTGTCCTTGAAGCCCATCTCCTCCAGCTTACAGCGGCGGTACAGTTCATAGTGCCGGGTGTGGGTCTGCTCCCGCAGATCCTCCATGTTGACCCGAATCAGCATCTCCCGCAGCTTCACAAAGTCGCAGTGGGCCTCATTCTCAACTGCATAGCAGGGATTGGGGCATTGGAAGTATATTGAAAGGAAGGCCAGCAGAAGAAGAAATGGATGAAATGAGATGTAAAATGTCTTATGGTGACATCACCTTGCAGCCTCTTTATACGGCACCTACAAATTTAACCTATTTCCATTTTCTGTGTAAATGGGAATGACACATTTTGAAAGGGCAATACTACTATGCAAATATCGAAGAACTTTCATTAATGCCTCAATGCAAATTTGCCAAGCAGACTTCCACAGGAATATCTGCTCTGCACTGCTTTGCAGATGACAACACATGCACAACTATCTATCCATACACCCAATAAATATTTGTGGAACCTCTGTTCCCAGTATTCTCTGTGGCCCAGATAATTCAGAAATGAAGTCTTGGGGCTATTCCTTTAGGACCCTGCAGCTTAGTGGGAAAGCACATGTAAACAGAACAATATAATGCAGCGCCAAAATTACAGACATGGATGCATGCCTGCAGCACAGTGAAAGCTCAGAAGAGGGGACCCAGGAACTCCCAGGAGAGCATAGGCTTCCCCAAGGACACAACCTCTTGGATGACTCTGGGAGGAAGAATAGGATTTATCAGGCAGATACTAGAACACAATCTTCACAAGGTCTCCAGAAGGCTAGGCAAGGTCACATGGTGAGCAAGTTGCAGAATTAGACTTCAAACCCAGGTAGTGTAGGGGAGAGGCAAAGACCATAGATGGGCTCTCCAGAGAGCAAGGAAAAAAGAACGAGGGTAGCAAAAGGTGATGGAGACATGGAGAGGCAGACCTCAGGTGTGGCCCATGTAGGTAGTAGAAGCTTCCAGGGAGGTGTTTTTTTTACCAAGGGTGGATAATGGCCTGACTGCTGCAATTTTAAGCAGTAGAAAGTGGGTACCACTTCTTTGCTTTGTGGGGAAAGGTCTGTATTTTGGGTAATAGACAAGAATGCAGGAGATTAAATCACAGCAAAGTGGACTTCTGGCCAGAGCAATTCTGCAAGCAGGGCTCTGTCAGGATATCTCCAGGCCTGGATCCACTGTGTTGGATAGGTAGTATTTGGCCATGTAGAGGGGGGTGGTGGTGTCTCAGATGATGAACTGATAAGCTACCCAAGATTCTGTCTCTCAGGGTGTGGGAGAGGGCAGTAGGGACAGAGAGGAGGGGTTCTGGAATGACAAAGTTGAGTATATTTGTACCATTATAGATAGTCAGGTATGGTCATCAAAAGTATTTGTTCAGAGTCCAGAGTGGTCCACGTACTCTTTCAACTTAAGGTCCTTTACATTCAGGACTGAACTCTACTTGTTGTCTTAGAACATAAACTAATATGAAAAGCTGCATCAATAACTCATTGGTAGCAAGCTATGTGTATATTCTAGAGGCATGCATGGTGGTACACACCTGTAATTTCAGTACTTAGGAGGTGGGGGAAGGAGGGCAGGCGCTCAAGGCTAGTTTCAATTACATAGTGATTACAAGGTCAACCTGGGACACATGAGACCCATTTTTTAAAGACAGAGAAAAAAGGAATAATTCTAAGTCTTTTTAAGGTTCCTAATCAGTGTCCAACTGCTTCTTCATTAAAAAAGAATAGTCAACTCAGGAGTTCAAAATAAGAAAATAACAACAAAACTCAATTTGGAATAAGAGCAGGGTAGTCCAAGTGGGAGGAAGGAAGTCACTAGAACTATATCTGATGGTTTGTCTCCTCCCACCTCAGGGTCCTGTCTTTCAGGCCACAGACTCCAAAGGTGTGACTGTTGATCCAGAAACCTCTTCCCAATGTTCCTAGTGTAACATCCTGTGGTGGTTTGAATGCAATTGTCCCTCATAGTCTCATAGGGAGTGGTACTATTAGGAGGTATGGCCTTGTTGGAGTATATATGTCCTTGTTGGAGGAAGTGTGTCACTATGGAGGCAGGCTTTTGGGTCTCATATGTTCAAGTTATGCCCAGAGTCTCAGTTCACTTCCTGTTGTCTGCAGGTCAAGATGTAGGACTCTCAGCTTCCTCTCCAGTACCAGGTCTGCCTGCATGCTACCATGTCCTGCCATGATGACAATGGATGTAAACCTCTGAAACTGTAAGCCAGCCCCAATTAAATGCTTTGCTTTATAAGAGTTGCCATGGTCATGGTGTCTCTTCACAGCAATAGAACACTAACACACATCCCCAGTTCCAAATGGCGGAGAGAAGCAAAACTTAGCAGAGCTCTGCCAAATAGTGTTCTCCTACCTATGGGACAGCCAGACAGGGGATGCAGCTCAATAGTAGTTTTCATCTAGCATGCGTGAGGCCTGGTTTCAGTCTCTGACATTGTAACATAGAAGAACTGAGGACATAGCTTAGTGGCAGAGCACTTGCCTAGCATGCATGAGAGCCTGTGTTCTATCCTCAGCACCACAAAAGAAAGAAAAGGAAAGAAATCCAGCTACTGTGAGTGGGGCTTGGCTGTGCCTTGAATCATGCCAGCCTTTTTATGTGGGTAGACAGCTCACCATCAACTCTTACTTTTGCTTTTCAAAACACACCTTCCCGAGGCTGCCTTTAAACTCACGAACCTTTCATGTCAGTTCCCCCACACACACAGTATTGGACTTACAGATGGATGCCACCCTTCTTGAGCGCCCACACTCCTTTATTTGCCCAAGGATTGGGATGAATTTACAGAGAAGCTGCCAGCCATGGCCCAGGTTACAGCTACAGACTCAGGGCCCCAAACTTCTGCCCACTGCAATGTCCTAGGGTTCACGTTACCTACTGAACTGAGTAACATAGTATGTGTGAGACAGACCCCAAAATGAATTGTCATGAGTGTATGTAGTATATATCTGATTCTTTAAAATTATGAAATAATCATACATATATACATATATATGAAATAGGTGTGTGCAATTTAAGGAAATTAAAATTTTTTAATTATCTCCACAACCAGAGTTAATGTTATCAGTACCTTGGAAGCCTCTGCTGGCCTCTTTTTGATCCCATGCCTCTCTCTCTCTTCCCTGCCTCCTCTGGCAATGAAACTTAGGCACTATCCTGACTTTGGGGTTTATTCTTCATTTGTGTATTTTTTGAATTTTAATTTGTTTAGTGTGAGGGGGCATGGGTGTGTATGTGTGTACTCCCGTGGGTGCTGGTGTTTGTGTGAAGGTCAGAGGACAACTCTTAGAAGTAAGTTCTCTCCTTCCACTGTGTGGGCTCTGTGTTATTTTAGCCAACTTTTGGTTTGGAATTCATACAAATAGAAACCTATCACATGCATTCTTGTGTAGTTTTATTTAGCTCAGCATTGTGTTTCTGAGATCCATTCACACAGATGTAACTGCAATTCATTCATTTTCGTTGCTGCCTAAGATCCCATTACATAAGTGTTTCATAAATTACCCAGTCTATTTTTATGGACACCTCATTGTTTGCAATAATTTATCATTATGAATAACACTGCTGTGAACATTCTTGTGCCTCTCCTAATGACATGTTCACTTTCTATGTTGTGCCAAGTCCATTTGTCTTTGTTCTTTTGGGGGGTATAAGGGAATACTTTCTCCATTAGAGACAAAAGGAGTCTGCTCATATCATAGAATCTGAGCACGGGGCCAGAGCTTGCTGCTAGTGACCCCTATGGCTGTTTGAGACCCAAAATGAGTAGTAGAGGCTGGGACAAGCTAGGAACTTGTTATATCATGGCAGGGGGCAGCAGACACACAAAGATGGGGCTCTCTGAGTGTAGCCCATGTGCAGGAGACTCACCCTGCACCGTCCCCCAAGGATACTGCCGTGCCCTCATCATCTTGTTGCCAATCTTCACTTCTTCCGTGCTGCCAACAACAGCGAATGGCAGGTGGGCCTAGAACAGAGGCAAACAAGCACTCAGAACCGCAGAAGAAAGGCATTGAACACCCCACGACGCAACTGCTGCTCATCCCCAGGCCGTTGGGTCTTTCCTCTGTGATGGCACTCACTGCATCAGCATCAGCACCGAGAGGCATTTATTATGCTCCAGAGCTCCACAGCCGTGCAGGGATGAGACCTGGTTCTTGCCTCTCTGTTCTAGATAACAACGGCATGGTTGAAGACATAGGGAGCAGAGCAGGAACATGAGCAGATATATGACCTAGCAACCTATATTCATCAGTCACAGTTGCTGGGAAGTGGATTTATGTGCACCAGAAGGAGTTGGGGTACAGAATCTGGCATCACTGCTCTCTTTCTAGAGTTTGAGGGTACAGTCTAAAACCACTAAACTAGACTGCCTTTGTTTTTGCCCACCCAAGACAAGAACTCACACTGACCCCATGAGCCTAGAGGGCAAGGCATCATCAAATCTTCACCTATAAGCTCTGATGGCGCACTATAAGGGACATAAAGAAGTAGAGGACACTTCCTTGCACTTTGGGAACTTGTACTCTTGTTGATGAAACCTAAATTACACACTCATAATCCTGTTAGATAGTATGTGATCAAGGGCAAATAGTAGATGCTTCATAAATACTCCTTGAATAGAGGACGGCAGGGCTATCTGAGTAGGGAAGAGGATGAAAGGGAAAGTTCAAGAAGGGTCATGAGCTTGGTGCTTGCAGGAGAGATGAGGGGCAGTGAATTCAGAGGGCTAGACTGAGGGACGAGGTGAGAATGAAAACCATGTTGTATCATCAGCTGCTTGCATCCCGGGCTCTCAGCTCTAAGCAATGGAGGAGGACTCTGTGTGAAGTAGGAGGCACTTCTCTAGACTCAAGAAGAAAGAAAAAACACAAGAAGAAAATAAAGGCATAGGAAATGCCAGTCTTCCCTTGGGCCTGTTATTTTTATCATCAAGGGACACTCAGAATGACAGGGTCACTGGCTTCCCCTCTTCCTCAAACTGCTGTCATTTGATTCCCCTAGCCCTCTGACTATTCTCAAACACACAGCCCCCACCAAATTGAGTTCTAAGGCTTCATAAAACCACCCACAGCACACTCCTTTGTAACTGGCGTCATAGATGGTTCTGGAAAGTACAGGCAAACAGATCATCTCCAAGGGCTAGAAATATAAACCTTATTTATTATCAGAGGGAGCCAGGACAGAGTTTAAAGAGTCATGCATGTCCTAAACTATGCCTTCCCAGTAAGTACTGAGGCCACCACACTTTGGCTGCCAGCCTTCCCTAACCACCTAGGGTGGTCTTCATTCGATGTCCTGGCTAAACAGCTGGAAGTCAACTAAAAAGGACAGGACAGGAGTCACTGGAAACAATCTCTGACCATGCTGCCCTTGAAAGACACGTGGCTATGGCAACCAGAATGGAATCAAGCAAGAGAGAGAAGAGTTTCAACTTTAAATCACACTAGTGGGTCCTATCCATGATAACCCCAAATGGAAGCTAGACTTTCTCCCATTTTTTCAGGTCCCTTCAGGGGGCTGACATGTGATGTTTCATATGTGGCCCCAGGGAGAAGACTCTTGATAGTTGCAAGACAAGGTCTCTGCTGACACATGACTAATAAGGGGATCCCAGGTGACTCTATCTAAACCTATGATGAGGGACACCAAGATGTCTGATCTCCCAGATGCAGAGTCCATCACAACACATAGCCTCAGGCCTGTCTTGGGAGTCTGGCCCCAGATACACTTAGTCCATTTTGTACAGCTACAACAAAATACCTGAGACAAAGTAATTTATAAAGACATATTTGAGATTTAAAGCCTATAGCTTTCACAGTAGGTCTAAAGCCTGGAAATCTAAGTTCAAAGTAGTAGTTCATTGGGTGTCTGATGAGGTTCTTCTTGTTACAACCTCCCATTGCAGAAGGTGGACAATCAAGCTAGCTCAGTTCTCCATAAAGTCTCCCTTGTAAAGACTCTTGACCTCATTAGTGAGGGAGAAGCCCTTACAGCCTACGTAACCACTAAAGGCCTGATCCCTCTTCTTCTGAAGAGAGGTTTAGTTTTCATTGTGTACATGGATGTCTGTGTGTGAGTATGTGCATGTGAGTGCAGGTTCCTACAGAGGCCAGAAGAAAGGGTTGGATCTCTTGGAGCTAGAGTTACAGGAGGTTGGGAGTCATGCTACATGGGTCCTAAGACTCTCTGGAAGAGCAGCCAGTGCTCTTAACCTCTGAGCCATCTCTCCAGCCCGCTCTTCTTTTTAAAATCAACCCTAGGAATTGAACCCAGGACTTTGCACATGTCAGGCACATGCTCTACCACTGAATATATATATCATATAACTAGGTCTGTTCCTTAATCCCTGGCTACAGTTCGAGCTCTTCTAAGAATAGCTTTAAATTTTTGTTGTATTTTTCTGAGACAGGGCTCCCTCCAGCTCTCTGTGTTACTGAGGATGACCTTAAACTTCCAATCCTCCTGCCTCTACGTCCCAAGTGTTAAGATTATAGGTGTGTCATTATCATTATGCCAGACCAACAATACTGCATCTAAGCAATAATAAGCTGGGCACGATGACTAAAGTCCTATAATGGCGACAATTGGGATGCTGAGGCAAGAAGCTCACAAGTTTAAGGACATCCTGGGATACCTAGTGAGACTCTGTCTCCAAATAATGAATTAATTTAAACAATGTGACAATTTTGAGATTTAAAGCCTATAGCTTTCAGAGCAACCCCAGAATGGGTTGAAAATAGCACACAGCAAACTCTCTCCCTCTCCCTCAACTCCCCCATCTCCTGTCCCCACAATATGAAATAAGTCTTTCCAGAGCCACCCAAAAGCCAAGGGAAAGGCCAGGCATGCTCACCATGAATATCTCCTATTTGGGAATAACAGGGCAGCTGCAAATCTTCTCTAACTAGGTAAAAACCTTCAGGCTCTTCTATCTCCCATGACAACAGGCTGTGCAGTGGGCAGAGGCTGGACATCTGGAACCTTATTTAGGATGGAAAGGCCAGCTCCCAGTTCTCATAAGCATCCAAGCACCCCTCCCCATCTCTGTTGATACCACTGCATATACCATGGTTTCGCTGGAGACTTTGACTCAGTTGTAGTGTTGGCAGGTGGGCAAAGCACTTGTGTGTTTATTATAGCAGTGACTCCTGCCTCCTGTCTCCCAATTCAGCATCTGGAACACAGAGGCTTCCCATACAGGCCCCTCACGGACATGTGCAAGCCCAGGCATCCTAGCTGCTTCTCTCCCCTTCACATTCAAAAGATCATAATGGAATGCAAGGCAGTGAACACTGAGCAATGCTACTTAGAGGAATAACCCTAAACCTACCAGACTTAGCTTACTTTTCTTTTGGAGGCGAGGGATCGCTATATGTAGCCCAGGCCAGAATCGAATATATGATCCTCCTGCCTCAGAGCTGGGGTCACAGGCATGCATTACCACATGTATTAATTTAGTTGTTCTAAGTGAAGCAGGGACAAACCATGGGCTGTTATGTATAACATGGGGCCAGCAATCTCTTTCCAGCATCGTTGAGAACTGCTGCTTCATAGCAATGGCAAGTTTCCAACTCTGAAGTTGAATCTGCCCTAGGCTGAGCAGGAGGCCAGACTTGAGCTGAGAACAGAGAAAGGGTAATTGTCACTCCTAACCCATACGTAATGTAGTGACATAGTTTGGTGGAACGCCTTCATGTTGCTGAAAATGTATTTCCTATTTGTTTGTAGCAAAGCAAACTATGAGGCTGACCACTGCTCGATGACTCATAGAATGAGTCTGGAAACTATCTACCGGGACTCAGGTCCCTGGGGCGACTAGATGCTTCCAGACATCAGTGCAAGCAACACCCAGAAAGCACTTCCTGTTTTGCTACAGACTGGGCACCTTTTCTGGTTTTCTTGTCCTAACAGACCCTCATTTCCAACAAAATGCCCTAATTCCTGGAGAAGACAGCACTATTTTCCTTTTTTAATTTTTGTCCATACCCACAGCAGGTCACAGAGAACATGACTCTACCTAACACACAGCTGATGAAGTGCTTCTACTCACAGATATATCTGGGATCAATTTTGCGGGTGGGAAGGCCATCAGGTGAGACAGTGACTTGCTGCCTGGCTATGCTAATTTGTTGGCCAATTCACAGGAGGTAGCCGCTGATGTTGTAATGATAACTTAGAGGACACCAGCAGCAGGAAAAGTTTGCTAAAAATGGCTTTTATTACAAGGCTTTCCTGAGTTTGGCTGTCCCCTGACATTATGTCATTAGGAAAAACTGATGCCTCTCAATAGAGAAAAAGAAATCTGTTCCCGGAAGCAGAGGCTTGCTGAAAGCCATTCGCTGTCTCCTAGAAATCACAACATCGAAGCTTTCACAGCAACAGCGTCAACACATTGTAAAGAAGCTCGGGGGAGTGTTTGACTCTCAGCCTTCGTTATTACTCATTCCTCTAGTAGGGGGAGGTGGGGGAGGAGAGAAAAGAGGGCTCTTTTTGTAAATTCATTCAATTAATAAGGCAAAGCATAATCCTGCTGCTTAAAAATAACATCACTGGGGCTGGAGAGATGGCTCAGTGGTTAAGAACACTGGCTGCTCTCCCAGAGGATCCGGATTTGATTCTGGGCACTCACAAGGCAGCTATCATCCATCTGTAACTCCAGTTTCAGATGAACCAATGACCTCTTCTGGCTTCCGTGGAGACTGTACACACATGGTACACTTACATACATGCGGGCAAAACACCCACACACATAAAATTAAATTAAATCTTTAAAAAAAATCATGATGGCTATTTCTTATTGTTCAGTTCATGACAACAGGACTTAATTCTTGGGCAACAGTCCATCTCTGTGCCTCTGAGGCCAACCAGTTTTTTCAGCCTTCATGTCTTTTGCTGTGCCCACTGTCCCAGCATTGTTGGGGTCAGGAACAAACCTAGTTTACCTTTCTTGCAGTCCAGTCTGGAAGGTTGCCTGACCTAGATCTGACAGGTATTAAGAAGGCAGTTTGGTAGCTGGGCGTTGGTGGCCCATGCCTTTGATCCTAGCACTGGGGAGGCAGAGGCAGGCGGATCTCTGTGAGTTCGAGTTCAATCTGGTCTACAGATTGAGTTCCAGGACAGCCTCCAAAGTCACAGAGAAACCCTGTCTCGAAAAACCAAAAGAAGGTAATTTTGAGGCTGGGGGTGGCACAGTGGATTAAATACTTGCCTGATCATCTTGAGGATTTGAGTTCAGATCCTTGGCATTCACACAAAAGTTGGCCGGGCACAGCAGCTACCTGTATTCCTAGTACTTAGAAGGCAGAGACAGGGGAAGATCCCCAGGGCAAGATGGCCTTCTGGACTAGGAGGTATGGAGAGATCTGCTTTCAGCAAGAGACCTTACCACAGTAGACATAGTGGAGAGTGATTGAGGGAGATACCCCATGTCAACCTCCAGTCTCTACACACATGAACATACACCTGTACACACATATGAACATAGACATGAGCAAAAAATGATGAGGGGGAGAGTGGAAGGAGAGGCCTGAATTCCCACTCCACACTCAGCCTTGGGCCAGTTATTTGGGTTCTGGATCCTCTGTCAGCAGTACCTGAGACTCGGGTAGTCAAGAGTTACCACACTAAGATGGTTGATGACGGTGCTTCCCTGCTTGCCAAGAACACATGTCTAGAAGGTTGAACCCTGTGTTCCCACTCACATTCATGGTTCCATTGATCTCGGCCACTGACTCATCATCCGTGGGGAACTGATAGATCTGGACTCCATTGCTCACAAGTTCACTGGTGATTTTGATCTTGAACTTTGTCAGCTCACTCTTAGAGATGGCATCTGATTTGGCAATGATGGGGATGATATTCACCTAGGAAAAGGAGGAACAAAGCGTACTTACTATGTGTTGGCTGCTGAACTAAGTTCCCTATGAATGACTTAGCAAAATTAATCATAACAATAACTTTCCCAGAAGGTGCTATTGCTAATGTTTTACCCATGTGAAACTGAACCACACAGAGGTTAAATAACTTGCCCAAGGCCACGGGGCAGATAAGTAACAGAACTGAGATTCAAATAAAAGTCAGCCTCGTCGGGCGGTGGTGGCACACGCCTTTAATCCCAGCACTCGGGAGGCAGAGGCAGGCGGATCTCCGTGAGTTCGAGGCTGGGCTGGACCGACAGCCTCCAAAACAATACAGAGAAACCCTGTCTCGTAAAAACCAAAAAAAAAAAGTCAGCCTCATTCCCAAGGCTAGTAGCAACTATGAGGTATCTGCCAGTTTCAGATCTAAGTTGGTGAGCCGTGTGATTCCTTGGAATCAAGGTCATTGCTGGGGTGATTCAAAGAGGAAAAATAAAAATGACAAAGAATCTGTGGTTGCCAAGGTGACAGGTGGACATTCATTGGTAACAGTAACTTGTCCCAACCTGTCCAACCTGGGCTTTCCCCAGCCAGATGTAACATGGATCCACATGGGAGGAGAGGAAAAGAAAGCAGGGACAGAACTTGGTGAGGATGAGCATGTGGCTCTCATGCAGCAGCCAGTTAGGCACTGAAGACCCAGTAGCGCTAATGTGACAGGAAACAGATGCAGAAATGGTAGACTGGGGCTGGGCTGGGATACAGCTCAGTTGCTCGGATGATAGCTTAGCATGAGCTGGGCCGTCACTTCCATCTTCAGCGCCCCCTGTAATCCCAGCACTGGAGAGGTGGGAGGATCAGTTCAAGGTCATGTTCAGCTACATAGAGAGTCTGAGAGTAGCTTAAGCTACACGAGATCCTGTTTTACCACCACCCCACCCCACCCCCACAAGTTATAATGCTGGAGTCATATTATTTGTTTCTCAGCAAAGAAAGTAGGTCTGAATGCAAGAAAAAGGCCTAGTGCCACCCCAAAATTTCAACTCACCAGAAACCTGATCCTTGAACTCCCCCCAGAAAGAGTGGAAGCTTTTACTGTCAAAGATAAAGAAATTTGACATGTGTGTGGCTTTGAGAGACAGAGCACACTTAAGCTCAGGTTCCTGCAGAAAATGGAGTTGTTCCTGCTTGAAAACCCCATTGGGGCAGCAGGAATGGTGCTCAGGCCATGGACCCTGAAAGGAGAGTGTGGGAGCTCTAGAACGGAAGAAGTCTCATGTCTTTTGTGTTTTCAAAGTCCCCTAAATACTCATACTACATAGCTTGGGGTGCTGGTCAAAGACAAGACCTTGTATTATGGCTCTTGTAGTCTGGGGTCAAGATATCAGAATCTTTGCCAAGATGAACAGCAGGCAAATCCAAGTCTCCTTTTCATTTTTTGCCAAGTTCTCATTAGTACGCAATAAACATAAGTCAAAACTACTTACCCAATCCAGCCCACCCCACAGACTACTTGCCGCATGGTTTGCCATTGCCCTATACAGGGCGATGCTGGGCATGAAGGCATTTCAGGAGCAGCCTATTATTCATGAGCAGTGAGCTCATTGTTGCAAAAATGGAAAAATTGCTTTTATTCTGATTATAGCTGACATTCAGTTTTTATAGTGGCTATGCTACCAAATGACTACGTGTAAATTAGAATTTTGTATACTAAAACAACTTGTAGTTAGAGCTAAAGGCAAATCTCAACTCCTTTACAAGTTGTCTGTCCTTGAGCAAACTACTTGCCTCTCTGTGCTTCACTGACCTCACATGTAAAACCTGAAGTAACTGAATATACTAGATGATTAGAAGGATAAAACAGGGTCCAGTCCTTATTGCTGAAGACAATACTAACATATCTCATCGAACATGGAGAGGTTGAGCTGGTGCCTAACTAGAGCCTTCATCCCTATTGACTAGTGTTCATGGTACTGGAATTACTTTGCACACTACCGAAGGAGAAAGGCAGCCACCCACCAAACTACAAACCCTGCAAACGACAATGGTCACCTGCCTATGTGATACGCTGGTGCAATAGCGGCACAAATGTTGTGGAGGTAACCAGCCACTGTCTAAGGGGACTTAAGGACCACTCCATGAGATGGAACTCATGCCTGACACTGCTAGACCTGAGACTGGATAGGTCATGGGCCTAGGGAAAAAATAAATACTACAGTTCTGCTAAAAGAACACTGCAATAAAATGACTGCTGGCTACATTCTGTTATACCCATAGATCAGGGCCTTGCTCAGCCATCACCAGAGAAGCTTCTTCTTGCAGAAGATGGGAACTAACACAGACAACCATAACTGGACAATGTGCAGAAGTGAGACTTTGGAGCACTCAGTCCTAAAAGGGATGTCTTCATCAAACTCCTCCCCTCAGGGCTTAGGGATCTATTTGGAAGAGGAAGTAGAAAGACTGTAAAAGCCAGAGGTGACAGATGACTCCAAGGAAACAGTGTTGTCCGGACAATGGGACTGCTGCGCATGTGCACTCACCGCCTGTAGCAGCATGCACAGGTTCAACCCATACAGGATCCCATGGCTGAGAGAGGAGACGTAAACACAGGCTCCATCTCTAACCAAGAAACTATCTATAACTGATACCTACTTGCAAAGGAAAACTTGTTTTTTCCTCATCGAGTCTCACTGAGTATATTAACTTTAGGATACCCCCATGCACAGCAGTAGATGATCAGCACACAGTGAACTCAATGGTGTTTTTGTAGACTTGTCTCATACTGCTTTGTTTGATTATTTTTTTGTCTTATTGATCTTATACTTACATATTTAGTTTCTGTTTTCATGAAGTTTCTTTCCGTTTTGTGATTTGAGGGGGTTGTTTTTATTTTTAATGATATATATATATATATATATATATATGAGAGAGAGAGAGAGAGAGAGAGAGAGAGAGAGGGAGAAAGAAGACACGGAACTGTGGGTGGAGAGGTAGGGAGGAGTTGAAGGATAAAAGAATGATCAAAATATATTATATGAAAAAATTGATTAAAGAGAAACAAAAATTTAAAATTAAAATGCAACAAAACACCATTTGCTAAAAACAAAAACAAACAACAACAACAAAACAAGGTCCAGTGGCTGAGCCCTTGCTGCCTAAGCGTGAGCGCCAGAGTGCGGATCCCCAGAACCTGCCCATAATTAAGCCTCAGAAGGCCAAGACAGGGAACTCCCAGAGCAAGCTAGCTATTTAGAAAGATGAGCCATATATAGTTGAATTCTGAATTGGGTGAGATTCTGCCTCAATGAATAAGGTGGAAGATAGATGATTGAGGATGATTCTGACATCGGCCTTCAAGCTCCACATAGCACCCATGTGCGCATGCGCATACATTCGAGCACATACACGCAAGCAATCATGCATGCACACACAACCAATATGCATACATATACAAATGGAAAAGAAAAAAAAGGTGAAATAACATATATAAGTACATAGTGTCTGGCACATGACAAATGTTAGGAAAGAAAAATCCTAGTAATTAGACTTTTTAAAGAACCGAATGCTGAATTTGTCTTGTTTTTATAGTGCTGGGAATCAACTCTAGGGCCTTGTGCATGGTTAGAGGGATGGACTAGCAGTTTAGAGCACTCCTTGCTCTTGCAGAAGACCTACGTTTGGTTTCCAGCACCCACATGGTGGACCATAACCATCGTCAACTCCAGTTTCTAGGAAGTCCGACATCCTCTTTTGAACTCTTTCAGCACCAGGCATGCAAGTGGTGCATAGATAAACATACATGCGGGTGAAGTGCTTGAAAACATAAAATAAAATACATCTTTACAAAAATAAGGAAAGAATAACACTTTTCTATCGCCAAAACCAATGCCCTTAGACTTAAACAGCCACCTTCCTTACATTCATTCATTCTTATTTCCAAAACACTTAGGACAAATCCATCCTAATACTAGGAACCCAGATGGCAAAACATATGGCACAAATGCAGGATCTGCAACATCATCCTTATGAGGAAGGGAACAAAGGATTGGATTAGGATGCTACAAAACCTCTGCTGGAATCCAGCATTCCTTATATATTAGATCAATTAAGAGGCCAGCTTGCTCAGCCCCAGCTCCTGCGTCATACCTTACTGTCCAGCTTCTTCATGGTTACTAGGTCCAGAGACTTAAGTGAATGTCCTGTGGGGGCGATGAAGTACAAGCAGACATGGATTCGGGAGTCGTGGTAGGTGTGCAGTACTCTCCGGATCTTCAGCTCCTCCTGCAGGTAGGCCTCAAACTGAGCATCTATGAATTCCACGATGGGCTTATAGCTAGAGAGGAGAGGAGAGACATGGCATCAGTGTTTGCTTGGATTTTGACATACTCAGTCCCGGTTAGAAATGCAGTGTCCTCTGTAATTGGACCTCCCACATCTAGTTGGGCTTCTCCATGTTTTCTCTTATACCGACAGCTTTGGCTGCCTTCTTGGTTCACACATGAGCCCAATTTATTTCTTCACTGCCTCCGCACAAGTCAGGGCTCAGTTTATTGCCTCCTTCCTATGGCCTTCTCTACTAATGCCCAAAATCCCTTGTGTAACCCAGCAGTGTAAAAACCTACACATGGCCGGGTAGTGGTGGCGCACGCCTTTAATCCCAGCACTCGGGAAGCAGAGGCAGGAGGATCTCTGTGAGTTCAAGGCCAGGCTGGACCGACAGCCTCCAAAACAATACAGAGAAACCTTGTCTCGTAAAACCAAAAAAAAAAAAAACCTACACATGGCATTGGATTGTTTGCTGCTGATTCATGGGAATCAATATTCTCTGAGAGTCACTGTGTCTCCCTGAAGGACAGGACCTGTAAAGGGAAAGTCTTTATCTCCCAGCAGGCCCCAAGGCAACGTGGAACCCACCGATGGGATCTGTAGTTGAGCCCTCAGTCTAAGCCCATTAGATGCTTCCTGCATCTCCCTGTCACATCCTGCCTTTGCACTGAAGCTGAGGATACGCGACCTCTCTGTGACCCATGCTGGGGGATTGTGTCACAGTGCTGTGGGATCTTTGCTCATTCTTGCAGCAATGAGTGAAGCATCCCAATTAACAACCTTGACAGTCACATATTTTTCCACTTCTCATCTAAGCACACGGACAAAATTTGATAAATATACTTCCTCCAGCTTCTATACAGGAACCCCAGCTCATTGAGAATCCATGGAACGCTCCCCTAGGCAGCCTCCTTGACTCAACAAGACATTTATTTGTTGGTTGGTTGGTTGGTTTGTTTTGAAACAGGATCTCAGTATAGCCTTGGTTGGTCTGGAACACGCTATGTACACCAGGCTGGCCTCGAACTCACAGAGATCTGCCTGTCTTTGTATCCCCAGTGCCAGGATTAAAGGTGTGCACCACCATGCACAGTTCTATCTGTTTATTTTTTGAGATGATGTCTTGCTGCATAGCTGTAGTGCTTTGAAAGAAAATGTCCCCCAAAGGGACACTATTAGAAGATGTGGCCTTGTTGGATTAAGTGTGTCGCTGGGGAGGTGGGCTCTGAGGGCTCACATATGCTCAAGCCACGCCCAGTAGGTCAGACCACTTCCTGCAGCCCGTGAGTCAACATGTATGAACTCTCAGCTTTCTCTAGCACCAGGTCTGCCTGCATGTTGCCATGTCCTGCCATGATGATAATGGACTAAACCTTTGGACTATAATCGCGCCACCACAATGAAATGTTTTCCGTTATAAGAGAGTTGGCATTATGGGACTGGAGAGATGGCTCAGTGGTTAAGAACACTAGCTGGTCTTCCAGAGGTCCTGAGTTAATTCCCAGCAACTACATGATGACTCACAACCATCTGTAATGAGATCTGGTGCCCTCTTCTGACCTGCAGGAATACTTGCAGACAGAACACTGTATTAATAATAATAATAATAATAATAATAATAATAATAATAATAATAATAAAAGAGTTGGCATTGTCATGGTGTCTCTTCGCATAGAAACCCTGACTAAGACAATAGCCTAAGCTGGTGTGGAATTCATGTAGCTCAGGCTGGCCTCAAACTCACGAACCTTCTACCTCTGCTTCCCGAGTACTAGAATTACATATGTTTACCACTACACCTGATTCAGCATGGCCTAAACATCAGTGAGCTGAAGGTCTATAGTAGTTGCTAAGGGAGGGAAAGATACTTTCTTCAGTAGTGTAGCCACTGGTGAGTTGCCCATGCTTCTGTAACTAATCCTTTATCTATGCTCCTATAAGTAACCCTAATTAATCTTACCGGTTTACACATACACACAAAGGCATAAAACTAGAAAAGAGAGCTGGAGAGATGGCTCAGTGGTTAAGGACACCTGCCATCAAGCCCGAGGACCTGAGTTTGATTCCCAGAGCACACATGATAAAAGGAGAAACTAGCTCTTGTGGTTGTCCTCTGACCTTTATACATGCATTGTGGTATGTATAAATATGTGCACATGAGTGTGAGCACGTGTACACATACACATATAAATAAATGAAAATGTAACTACTAAAATACCTCTATTAAAAAATAAAAGTACTGGCTTTCTTGAGTTCAGCTCGGTACTGGGATTAAGACTGGGCTGGTTTAACCCCCAGAAACAGCTGACCTGACAAAGGTTGACTCTTGAATCCCAGGCATCAGCCTGGGAATCCAGCATGGGACTGATCAAGACCCCCTGAATCTGGGTGTCAGTGAGGAGGCCTAGGGAATCTATTGAGCCTTGGGCAGCAGATCAATACCCATCCCAAGTATACACATGGACTTTGGACTCCCATAGAACAATGTGAGGTGCACTCTCACCCTGAACTCTTGGGGAAGGGTCTAGGCCCTGCCCTGTATGAAATGACAGACTATGGACACCCCCATGGAGTGCCTCACCCTCCCTGGGGAAATGAGGGGATAATGGGGGGAAGGGCACGGGAGTAGGGAAGGGAAAGGGAGAGGGACCTGGAACTGACTTGTGAAGCAACCTTGTTTCTTATCTAAATTTAAACTGAAAAATAAATAAAAAATAAATAAAAATAAAAGTAAAGGAGGGGCTACTTGGGAAGAGAAAGGAGATCAATGGGAGGGGACAAAAGAGGGTAATGGGGAGTGAATATAATAAAAATACACTATCTACATGCACAAAAGACTCAGAATCATGTGTAATTAATATATGCTAATTTTTAAAACTTAAAAAGAATAGCCAGCCCACTCCTCCTCCCTGTCCTGTGCCATTCTGGAAACTTCTTTCTTTCTTCCTAGCCCTATCTGCACTGAAGCCACCCAATTGTCTTAACATTCTTTCTTTTTCAGGCTGGATAAGGGTGATCTTTCTTTTTCTTAAATAAATTTCTTATTTATTTATTGTGTGTGTGTGTTTAGGTGTGTGGTGTAAGTGTGGAAGTCACATGACAGCTTGTGTGAGTCAGTTCTCTCCCTTCACCCCGACAGATCCAAGGATGGAGGAACTCGGGTCCCCAGCTTGATGGCAAGCATCTTTATCCGCTGAGCCATCTCACCTGCCTCTGCTTCACTCTCGGCCACATCATCTTTCTGCTCTAACTGGGTCATCTCAGTTTCAGCCCTATGCCTCGCCTCCGCTCCTCGGTTTGCATGCGGTCTCTCCACTGGAGATGCTGCCCCCCTTCAGGGAAGAAGAGGCTCATTACCTCAGCCCAGGGCAGGGAGTTTTCAGATCCCACTGTCAGAAGAGAACATGATCAAAGGAAGGTATGAGACCAAGCAACCCCTCCCACCTGCAGCAGCTCCCCACCTGAGCCTTCGTGAAAGAACCCCCGAGGAAAGGGGAGGAAAGCAGCATTTAAAAAGAGAATCACACAACCCTGCATCCTGCATCCTGAGAGCTGCATACAGGAAGAGACCCAGGTGCAGGGTATCTCTGGCACCCCAAAGGAAAAAAATCTAAAAATACTGCTCTTTCTTTCTTTCTTTCTTTGATTCCACCCCCCTGCCGCCCCAGCCAAGACTGTTTTGAAACACAAATGATCCCTTGGCAGCAAAGAGTCATAGAAGATTCCTGAAGAATTCATAGTGAGAGTAGAGGGCGCATTCCTCAGACGTAGCTAATTTTTAGATGGGTAGCTGCTTTGAATTATATGACCAGGGCAAGGCTTTGCTTTCCGCCATTACATAACTCCTTTTTAAAAAGTTTTTGTTTCACACAAAGGGGTGGAGGAGATAGCAGATTTTCTCACTTCCTTCCTCTTGAAGCACTGAAACGCTGTGTTCATCTTATTCCAACTGCCCCTGGCTCTCAGAGTCTCTGAAGAGGTACAGACATCAGACCAGTCAAACCAGCCAATCAGCCACCAGGGTTTGGTTTCAAGGGATCTGAAAGATGGGTGACTCATCTTTGTGTCAGTCAGCTTTGTATCATCAGTGTCTGGCCTGCTGTCTGACATACAGCAAGGATTCCACCTACTGCTCTGAGTTCTTTCACCCCTGCCCCCACGGCTGATCTTCCCACAGTGGCCATCTCTTCTCCACATGTTGCTATCCTTACTGAACTCCATTCTGGGGCAAAGAAAATCCTCACTTCTGTGTGCAGCCACATTGCCAACTGTTTCTTTTTTTCTTCAAGGCACTGCTTTTCTCATGCCCCTCCCGAGAGTACATTTCTAGATGACCCACACCCTAGTTCCATGGAGGGCTGTAGAGGACAGCTTTCTTCCCTGGCAGACTCGACCCTTCCTCATCACTCCAATTAATCTTTCCCCTTTTGAGGCAACAAGTTCAAGACTTTTATGGACCACCCACGCAATTCTTCTCTTCTAACATGTATAGGAGTTGTGCCTGCATATATGTCCATGCATCACATGCATGTCTTGAGTCCATGTAGGCCAGAGAGGGTGATGGATCCCCTGGGACTGAAGTTACAGATAGTTGTAAGGACCCATGTGGATGCTGGGAATTGAACCTGTGTCCTCTGCAAGAATAACCAATGCTCTTAACTGCTGGACCACCTCTCCAGCCCTATTCATACAATTCTAATGGAGCCCACAGACCTCCAATGAGCTTATAAATAGAATTTAGAGAATCCCCAAACTTGAACAGGAACAAAATACATCTCTAACTGCACTTTGGCAGTTTCTTCAGTTAGAAACCAAGGCAATAATCTATAGTGTTGTTTGTAGCACCTGTGATTTTTCTATCCAGTAGGAATCACTCATATTTTCTATTCCTGGTCCAGTGGCTGCTTATCTGTCAAAATAGCATCTACATCTGTCATAGTTTCTATATTCTGATAATTATGAAGTCTGCAAATAGATACTGCTATTTCAGGACTTAACAAAGAAGTT